CCCAGAAACCTGTCGGTGGTCCTGAGGCTGCTAAGCCATCCTGGCAGCATTGCCACGTGAGCCCCATGCGGTGCCCCGTGACCTGGTGGATCCCATCCAGACCTCTGTAGAGGAGTGCAGGCTTGCCCTGTGATCCCCAGGAACAGGCGGAGGGTAGGACAGGACTGTATGTGAGAAGTACCCGCATGGGTAGAAGGCCAAAATTTCTTTAAGTGTTCAGCAGAGCTCATGGATATGGGGATATTGGTAACTCCATGCAGCATCCAGCGGATGGTGGCATCTTACTTCTCTTCTTACTTCAAACAGAATCGAACTTCGATTTGCAGCTTAAAGGAGGATACAGGAGAAGACTGAATGAAGAACTCCCTTGGAAGTGATTGTTAGGTTTATGGCTTAGACCTGGGGCATTTAACTGAGGCCCAACACATCCTGTATTTGGACACGTAAAGTCCATGAAAATTGGGGGATAAGCTTACAATTAATATTTGACAATTTGTGTTATGAGAATGCATGAACACACACCAAATGTTGTAATTGAATTCATAGCTCTGTCGAACCTTTTATTAATAAAGGAAAGATACTAGAAGGTGGTGAGAAAGAAATTCAAGAGACACTCAAGATAAGATGTGCCAGTTTGCAGTTTCACATGTGATCCTGCTGATGGCAGCCACATCCATGTACCTTTGACAGTCTTTAATTTGCTTTCTGTTTTTCCCATAGCCCAAAAGGTTCTGTGCCTGAAGCGCCCTTTGAATGTGAAGAGAAAGCACAGAGTACATCACATGATGTGTGTTCGAACACATCCCTGTAACCTCTGTGTTCAGAGATCATACAGAAGTGATGTATCAGAGTGTACATCTTCCCTTTGGAAACTGAGCTCCCAGAAGGAAGGAACTGGGCCGGGGTCTATATGGAGCCCAAAATATCATAGGCTTTCTCAGAAATCACAAAGTTCTGTGACAAGTAAATAAGGTCAGTAAATTCAGAGATGGCCCCAGAGACCAGGACTTCTGACCTGTTGGGAGCTGAGAAACAAGAATGGGCCTACTAGCCTTTGATTAATGTGGACAAGTTAATGAAGTAGCTGGAAAATGCACAAAGAGAAGATGCGAAATAAGGGTGTGAGGGGAGGGAAGGTAAGAGGATTAAAGCTGCAAAAACATTCCTCTAATGGATTTCTCAAACACACCAGCCAACAGGCAAGGGCAGGTGTCCTGTCAAACCATTTCTCCATGAAACCTGATCCATCTTTTTGCAGCGGAGGCCTGCTAACCCCATTTGTAATTGAAGGGCCTGTCCCTTATTTCCAGTGAAGCACACTGAGCAGCCTAGGGACTCAGCCAGGAAACCGGCTTTGCAGACAAAGGGGCCTGGGAACAGGCTGGTTTCCTTCATATGCGCCAGCTAGAGCTCCTCTCTGCATCTGCCCCGTCTGATGGCTGATTAGGCTCTTATTGATCATGAACTCCCCACCCCTCCCTGGCCCCCCTTCCTGTCCAAAAACACTAGAAAAAGGGAGTCCTCTGATTTTCAGATCATTCATCACTTCATTATTCTGCCTTTGATCCCTTAGTGAAACTCAAGTTTTACTCGAGCAGCCAAATTGGGAGTGTTTTAAGCTAAGGCTCAAGCTTAGGAGGCACGGGGGGAGCGGGGATGGGGGTAGGACGGACAGGGCCAAGAACCAAACTGCTGCTTATTTGTTTTGAAGCCAGGAAGGCTCGCCTGCCAGTCGCCGCTTGTGGGGAACTGGATGTCCAGCTGGGGTGCCCTCAGTCCTGCCTGCACAGGCTGTTGTGCACATGTTGGCATCAGAACAGAGGGGCTGTCTGGCCGCATGGCTGACCAGTGCCCAGCTTCATGCTCCCCCACTGCACAGCCTTCTGTCTCCAGCTGAGCAGCTGTCAAGAGGGTGCAGCAGGAGCCAAGAGGGGATTAAAAGGGCCAGTGTTTTCTACCACTGTGTTGCTGAGGTGGGGGCCAGTGTTTTCTACCACTGTGTTGCTGAGGTGGGTTCCTGGCAGAGTACATGCTCCCTCCGTGCCTGGATAAGCCCTCAATTACAACGGGCAGGAGCCTGGGGCCGTGAAGACGGAGATGGCGTCCTGGTGCCAAACTCCTTTCAGTTGCTTACATCTTTCTTGGAAAATGATCTGCTAGGTTTAAGTATATTCTTTGCTTAAGGCAAATATCCTTGGAATGAGGTGAAGAAAAGGAGGAGGAAAAAACAAAAACCTATTGGTGGAGTAGTTTGGGATTTATTCGACCATGGAGGAGAATGCTTCACAGCGCCTGAGGAATTTTCCAGATGCCCCTAAGCTCACAATCACTCACAGCTCGCTTTGTGGGGAGCCTCCGACTTGGCAGGTACAGGGCGCACTGGCCTGAAGGAGGATTAAGGCCTTTGCATTTTTTAAGTGAATTGCTTTCGGAAAACACAGTTACCAATATTTAGCAAGAACATGTTGAGCTCAAGCAATTCCTTTCCCATAGTCCAAACCTTCCTCCTCTCTGAGAGGAAACTCATTAGCTATCTTGGCTGAGAGGCTCAGCCAGGACTGGGCTAAATAATTTGTGGGACCAAATGCAAAATGAAAATGTAGGGTCCCTCATTCAAGCATTATTAAGAATTTTAAGATGGTGAAAGCAGAGCATTAAACCAAGTGTTAGCCCCATCAAGTGCAGGGGCAGGTTGCGCACCCATCAAGCTGGCCTTGAGCTCAAACTTCCAAACTGTATTTATTTAGCAAGGATTTAGAAAGCATTTGCTGTGTCCTCAGTACTATGCAATAGAGCTTGGGGTTGGGGTGAAGAGTGAAAAATTAATAGGCTTCCCACCAGGAATTTATAATTTAGTTAGGGTCAGATATCACACACACATACCATTAAATAATTTTGAAATCATTATTTAAAAGCCCAGGAGGCCCTACACTTACCCATAGGAAGGAATCTGAGAGATCTCACCTTGACCCGCAGGCATCATGCTTGTTCAACCTGGAAAGTGAAATGGGGCAACAGAAGGGAATCAGACAACCAATCCCTGATTTTTTTTTAAGTTTTTTTTTTCCTGTGGGTACATAGTGTGTGTGTATATTTATCAGGTACATGAGATGTTTGGATACAGGTACGCAGTGTGAAATAAGCACATCATGGAGAATGGAATGTCCATCCTATCACTGTTTCCACCACATCACTCCTTGAATGTCATGTATTTCTTATAGCACATTTATTAGACCTATTTCACTTCTTTCTTCAGATCCCGCATAACCTCTCAAGAAACATTCTATTTGCAAAATAACTTCCACTGGCCACACTTAGATATAATGTTCATAGAACATTCATTGTGCTAGGCTCTTGTCCGTTTCTTCAAAATGTAGACCAACTTTATGAATTTGAGTTTCTAGGCAGCATAATGGGCATCTTGTACCTAACTTGTGGGGCTCAGCTTCCAAGATACTCATTCATTCATTCATTCATTAACATTCATTCATTTATTCATTCAACACTTGCCAAGTGTGTTCTTGGGCCAGGACCTGGGTTAGGTTCAGGGGACACAGACAGGAACAAAACTCGGTCCATGCCCCAAAGAGTTCACAGTCTAATATTGTAATCAAAGGGACATCAATCCTTTCACAGAAACAAAATCCTTTTCCTCCCCTGTGTTGGTTTGAATTGACTAAGAGCTGCTGGGAAGTTCCATTACGTGGGAAGCCTCCTGACCTCACTGAATACCTTAATCACCAGGCACTCCTAGGGTGACACCAGTTTGTTTTTGGTAATTATCTCTTGTCTTCTGTGAGAAACCTGATTCCAGCCCTCTCTGGGTCTCCAGTGGAAACAACAGCAGAGGCAGGTGTGGTCTTGCAGTGAAATTGTAGTCAGCCCCGATGCTATCAGTCCCGGGAGCTGAGCAGAATTTGGTGTGGCCAGCATTCGGAGAAGGTGCCTCCAGGGCTTTCTGAGTACCTTTAGGAAGAGAGTGTCTGGGTAAAATATTTCCATCTGTCTTATACTCCATTAGTTTTATTTCTCCTCTTAAATTCAGCTATAATCCTGAAAACCAGATTTCCAACTTGGAATGCATGCAGTTTTGTTGTGCAAGTGGTCCCTGTTTTACTCAGCAACATCAGTGATTTGGCTCATACAAAGAGAGATTTGTTGTTTGGACTCTTGAATTGCTTGGGAAACATTCTGCTCTTATTCTAGATGGATCTCCATCCTCTCCCAGTTTAGATCCCGTGGTGGCAAGCCAGGAGAGATGGCCCTGGGGCTGCCAGAGACCACAGCCTCATGTCAGGACCCTGGCTCCTCTGCAGTCCACTGCCATTAAGCCACCCTGGGGTGCTGCCTGTTGTCCTGGCAGATTCCTCTTTGCCTTAGAAAACCCTTAGGGTATCCAGAGTCCTTTCCCCAGCCCCAAGGAAGGATCCTCTGTGATGTGGGGTGTGGCTCCTGAGCAGCAAGAATCAGCCTTCTGGTTACAACCATGGCCATCCATGAAGTGCAGTCTCAGGCCTATCGCTTGTCATCGTGGATGCCTGAGGAGAACCTGGGAAGGCTGTTCTTAATCAGCTTGGAGAAAAGACATCAGCATTCTCTTTTATTGTTCTCTTCCATCTCTGTTAGCTTAGCCTTCTGACAGCTCTGCTAGGACATTTGTACCTTGACCCACCCCATTTCTGGGGTGGATAAGCAGAGCCAACTTGCCCCCACATCTCAGTGTAACAGATGGTCTGAGCCAGAGGCACTGCTTGATGGGATTCTCTCTGCACCTTCCCCCAACTTGTATATACAAAGTGAACCCCATCAGTGATGAGGGCCCCACATTCTTACAAACTCGTGTAGACAACAAGGGGCTGGAGGAAGAACTTGGAGGATCCCCTGATATCCCCCAGGTGTGGGCTTTGTCATGACTGACAACACCAAGGCACAAGCCCACCCTGAAATGTCACATTTTTGCTCTGCTCTCCTCCAGCCAGCACCTTCCGTTTTCTTCACAGATCTCGAGGACTTCAAGTTAGACGTGCAGCACGTGATTGAAGTGGATGAGGGAAACACAGCAGTCATTGCCTGCCACCTGCCTGAGAGCCACCCCAAAGCCCAGGTCCGGTACAGCGTCAAACAAGAGTGGCTGGAGGCCTCCAGAGGTGAGTGGCAGGAACCCAGAGGCCAAGGCTGAGGCCAGAAGGGAAGCTGGCCTTCTCCAACCGCTCGCTGCTCAACAAAGCTAGGGCAGCTGCGGCTGCCTCACAAACCCCCTTCAACATGCCAGCAGCCCTGTCCTCATGCTGGCCAGCTGTCCTCCTGCCTTTTTTTTTTTCCTTTTAAGAGACAGGATCCTGTTAGGTCACTCAAGCTGGAGTGCAGTGGTACAATCAGAGCTCACTGCAGCCTCCATCACCAGGGCTCAAGAGATCCTCCTTCCTCAACCCTCTGAGTAGCTAGAACTACAGGCACATGCCACCATGCTTGGCTAACTTTATTTTTATTTGTTATAGAAACAGAGTCTCACTATGTTGCCCAGGCTGGTCTAGAACTCCTGAGCTCAAGCAATCCTCCCGCTTTGGCTGGAATTACAGGCTTGAGCCACCATACTTGGTCATGTCTTCTTTCTTGATATTTAGTCCTGTAGGGTCCCAAAGCGGGTGGCTTCCATTATGGAAGTCCTCTGTCTTAGCATGAGGAATTTCTTTATCCTTTCAGGCCCCAGAAGATGATGACTGAGATGCTGCTGTTCCATCCAGGCTCTCAGCACGTGCTTCTGCATGCTGCCTGTGGAAGCTCTGTGCCTCCCGGCACACACAGGACGGCTGCCTAATAAGCCCATTCATGGAGCCCCAGGGTTCCCTGGCAGGAGGTGGAGCTCTTCCCCATGCAGCAGAGCAGTCTTTGCAGTGGACTTCATTTTTTCCTCTCCCTGTTTGCATAGTAAATGCAGTTATCTCAGCTGTCACAGCTCCCTCCTCAAGCCACTGTGGACAGACATGGCAGCAGGTCCAGAGAAGCCAAGACTTGGTCCACAGAATGCCAGAGGGGAAGAGGTTGTCCCTGAAGTCAAAGCCAGCCTCTTTTCACAACTGACCCTGTACTCGAGGCCAAGTAGACCTTACTTGACCTGACACCACAGCTCAAAATGTATACCTTTCAATTGCTTGAGCCCAGGAGGCTGAGGTTGTAGTGAGCCAAGATCGTGCCACTGCACTCTAGCTTGAGTGACAGAGTGAGACCCTGTCTCAAGAAGAAAAAAAAAAAGTATACCTTTAAAAATATACTCTAGATTTTAAGATATTTTTATTAACTCTTCCTGGTTGTGAAGGAACATATGTTCATTATAGAAAACTTAGAGAATACAGAAAACTGTTTTCAAAAGGGTAAAACCCCTAATCCAACCACTCAGAACCAACTGGAGACTGGGGGAAGAAGCGCATTAATCCCTACTGTCCCCAGCAGAAGGTTGGCAGCAGCCTCTGGGAGAGGCCTGCCTGCCCCACCAGGGCCAAGGGTTTCTCCCACTCCATCTGGCACTTGCTAAGCAGCTCATACCTGGGTGGCCCAGCAGCAGGCAGGCACCAGGCTTGGCAACAGCACAGCTCTCAGGAGGGGCCACCAGGGCAAAGCTCAGCACTGACGGCCATAGCTTTACCTGCCAGGAAGCCAAATGCCACCCTAGTTGCTGGGGTGTCCAGGAGCTGTGAATCTGCCTCCTAGTTACAGAACCTGAACACCCCGGGGGCACCAGCCCATGGCACCCGTGGACCAGGAGCAAACAGAACCTAACAGGCCTCTGATGTGGGAGAAAGGATTTCAGTGGCATTCATGGGGAAGACAGTGGTTAGAAGTCAGAATATTCCTCTCCAAGTAGCAAAAATGCAACAATGAGGTGATTCCGAGTGATGGCTATGACTGATGGGAAGATTTGCTCATCATTTTGGGAAGGGAGAATGAGGGGAAGCTCCAAAATCAATTTCCTCCAGGCTTGCAGGAATGATGATCTCATCTCTCATGTGTGCAGCATGGACCTCTCAATCCTTACAATGGCCCTGAGGCAGCATACATTAAGCCTTTTCACAAATAAGGAAACTGGATCAGAGAGATTAATTAACTTGCCCAAGTTACATTACACAGTTAATACCCAGCAGACCCAGAGCATGAGACCATGGCTGATTCAAAATCCTGCTTGCTTTCTAGCCTCCCCTAGCTCCCTTGAAAGTATAAAATGCTCTTCCATAGACCTATGCACTAAGTTGTGGCAGTTAGTCAGTCAGCCAGTCTGTTAGCTGGTTGCTTAGTTACCTTTTCTCTCTGGCACTCTGTCCCGCTTGTTGCAAGGTTTTATGGAGAGAACAGCATCTTAGGCTTGGTCTTGTGGGGACTCAGGTGGACATCAGCTCCTAGGGTCTGCCCAGCCTGTTCCTCTCCCTCCGTGTACCTCTCCTTTGTGGAAGCTGCAGAGTGAAGCATTCTGGACCCAAACCCATCCCGTCTTCCCCTGGCCCTGCCCTTTCCACAGGTAACTACCTGATCATGCCCTCGGGGAACCTCCAGATTGTGAATGCCAGCCAGGAGGATGAGGGCATGTACAAGTGTGCGGCCTACAACCCAGTGACCCAGGAAGTGAAAACCTCCGGCTCCAGCGACAGGCTGCGTGTGCGCCGTAAGGCCCGGGCCCATCTGCTGGGGGACGGGGGGATCACTGATGGAAGGGTTCACAAAGATAGAAAGGGAGGTAGCTACCTGGAGGTGCCACATCCAAGCTACACTTCTGTGTGCACTGGCTTTGGCCAGGGGGAACACCTGGGACTCAGCCAGGGGTTCTCTCCCCTCTGGCCAGCCTTAGGGCCAGCGTCTCACAACACACAGCCCTCAGGCCTGGCTCTGGCAGGTGACTGTGCCTGCTGTCACACCTGCCTGTTGGAAGCCCACATGGAAGGCCTCCAGGCCACCGTTTTGCCCTGCGTGAGGTCCCTGGGCCTGCACTCTCTGCATGGATGAGGTGTGCCCAGCACCACCCTCTGGTGAGTGTCCAGGAGGCCCACGTGCTCTCAATGCACAGGAAAATAGCAGCTACCTTTCCATGCACTTGTCTGGAGTCCCTGCCTATTCAGAGAAGTGGCGTCTTACACGGAGTTAGCTTAGAGTTGGCACCAGAGATGAAGTCACTGTGAAACTAATGAAGCGAAACTTCCGTGGTCCTTCACTCACTGACAGAGGCCTCAGAAGGGCCTAATTTCGTATCTATTGTTTTCCATTCTTTTTTGGGCCTTCAAAACTGTATAAATTTCAGGTTTTAGAAAACCTGGGTCTGTCCCTGGTTGGCATATAAAGCAGAATCACACATGGTCCCTGTGCTCCTCGAAGGTCGCTGAGGAACGGCACACATTGGAGAGTAAACGTGCCTTTCAGTGAGTTCTGTGCAGTTTGTCCACAGTGTTAGAAAAAGATTACAGCTTCCCCAGCTGTGTCCTGATGAAGTACATAGTGATTTGCATTTGGGGACCTTGCAGTATGAGAATGCACGTGTTTAAACAGTGGATTCCATTCAGCTCAGCCGGAGGCCGGCTCTGAGATGCTCACTGTGAGAGACACTTGGGCCTGAGAACCATAGGGTGGGGCTGGGAGCATGGCAGATTCTTGTTTCCCATCTCATCCTCAGCCTCACAGTGCTCTTACTGAGGGCAAGCAGAAAGAAACATCTGTACCATTTAAATTGCCTCTCCGTTCCCTCACCTTTCTCTCCTTGCCAGCACACATAGTTAACTGTGCATTTGTTGTGTTGATGCTGCTGTTCTTCTGTGTTATCTCATTTCTTACTCATGACAGCTCCCTGCAGAAGAAGCCCTTGTTTCTGATAAGGACACCAAGGCCCAAGGGAATTCTGTAGCACGCCCCACTCCACCTAGGTTGAAAGACCCGGAATGGCTGTTTGATCCCATCTCCATGCTCTCTGGGACTGCCTCCTGGGGATGCTCTGCAGGACATCCTGGTCCACACGCCTTCTGTCCTTGCCCTCCTTGCCCCTCCAGGCTCCACCGCTGAGGCTGCCCGCATCATCTACCCGCTGGAGGCCCAAACCATCATCGTCACCAAAGGTCAGAGTCTCATTCTGGAGTGTGTGGCCAGTGGAATCCCACCCCCACGGGTCACCTGGGCCAAGGATGGGTCCAGTGTCGCCGGCTACAACAAGACGCGCTTCCTGCTGAGCAACCTCCTCATCGACACCACCAGCGAGGAGGACTCAGGCACCTACCGCTGCATGGCCGACAATGGGGTTGGGCAGCCTGGGGCAGCGGTCATCCTCTACAACGTCCAGGTGTTCGGTGAGTGTCTGCTGTGGACTGTCTTCTCCTTGGCCTTCTCTCTGGTCTGTGCAGCCTTTCTAGAAACGTAACCCAGGCTCACGGAGGGTTAGCGTCTTGTGAAAGGCCACATGCTGAGTGAGGAACAGAGGCAGGCTGAAGAGTCAGGGCTCTTTGGATCCCAGAGCAAGGGTACACAGTCCTGGAGCCCACCTGTCATGACTCTGATGGTGGAGACGTCGGACCTCTCCCTCCCTTTACTCTACCCATTAGGAAAAGCAACAGCCGAAGGGCAGGGGGAGCTGCTCCTAACTGCATCCCTCCCCGCCCATCTGGCCTGGGACAGAAAGCCCCAGTCCTTCTCACCCTGCTCTGCTTTCCTGGCAGAACCCCCTGAGGTCACCATGGAGCTGTCCCAGCTGGTCATCCCCTGGGGCCAGAGTGCCAAGCTCACCTGTGAGGTGCGCGGGAACCCTCCGCCCTCCGTGCTGTGGCTGAGGAATGCCACGCCCCTCATCTCCAGCCAGCGCCTCCAGCTCTCCCGCCGGGCCCTGCGTGTGCTCAGCATGGGGCCTGAGGACGAAGGCGTCTACCAGTGCATGGCCGAGAACGAGGTTGGGAGTGCCCACGCCGTGGTCCAGCTGCGAACCTCCAGGCCAAGTGAGTGTAACTCAGGGGTTTGAGATTCCAGGGGTTTGAGATTCTCATTTGAGAATCCATTTCTCAAATGGTATAGTTTCTCAAATATACCAGTATATAAGATAGAAAAAAGTAGCTTTTAGTTGTAAGTTCAAATTTATATGAACTTAATAAATCAGAAGTGCAGATTTTCACTAATGAAAATAATTCATTTAATTGTTGTATTTAAAAAAATATTTCTGTGGAACCCAGTTTGACAACCACTGCTCTAGTGCTTTGGTGAAGAAAAGCCAGTCTGTCCTCCTCAGCCAGCTTCATTCCGGTTGGGGCCTATGCCAACTGAGCAGTGACCATGCTTAGCCTGGGGAGAGGTAATATGGGGGTGCAGAGCAACGCGGCAAAGACCCTGCCCTTGAGAACTCCCCTCTGGGGACGAAACTTACCAGGGAAACGACTTGAGAAAAATACAGCAATGAGTACAATACAATGCTAAGTCAGCATTATCAGGTGCCCGTATCCTGTGGTGGGGAAGGTCAGGTAGAGGAGACACAGGTGCTGGCAGATTCTGTAGAAACCTCCTGAAGGAAGCACTGCCCCTCCTGGCCTCAGACTCTCAGAGGACATTTCCAGTTGTGTTCATGTCTCATGTTCAGTAGCAAAAGGCCCACATGGTGCCGTGGTAAGATTCCACCATGAAGGGACATGTCTCCATCTCCAGCCTAGACCGAGAAGGAAGGCGCAGGGTTCCTGGGCCTCGAGAGGAAATTGAGTTAGTTCACGGGAGATGCACCTCACGTGGACTCAGGAGAAAAGCAGGCCACAGAGAGGTTTGCTTGCCATGCCCAAGCCACCCCTGAGCCCCTGGCCGGGCAGACCAGGCTGCTTTTTCCTTCTGGCAGGACAGGGACACCCGCGCTGTCTTCCATGGAGCCCGGCTGGGCAGCACAGAGTGGGTGGCGGTCGGGCTGATGGTGGGCCCAGTTGCCTCTCTGACTTCTTCCTGTTTTCTCCCCAGGAACAACAGCTCAGCAGGTAAACCAGGAGACTAACCTTTCCTTCTCCTTCCTGTTGGTCCTCCAGGCATAACCGCGAGGCTACGGCAGGATGCTGAGCCGGCTACTGGCACACCTCCTGCACCACCCTCCAAACCCGGCAGCCCTGAGCAGATGCTGAGGGGGGAACCGGCGCTCCCCAGACCCCCAACATCAGCACGGCCTGCTTCCCCGCAGTGTCCAGGAGAGAAGGGGCAGGGGGCTCCCGCCGAGGCTCCCATCATCCTCAGCTCGCCCCGCACCTCCAAGACCGACTCATATGAACTGGTGTGGCGGCCTCGGCATGAGGGCAGTGGCTGGGCACCGATCCTCTACTATGTGGTGAAACATCGCAAGGTATGGCCCTGGTGTGGGGCCGCTGCCTCCCCTACACAGCCTTCCCAGCAAATCTGAGCAGAGTCACTGCCTCCTGGCCATTGAGTTCCTGAAGCCTGAACCAGTAATCCCCACCACTAATCAGGCCCTTCTGTCTCCTCCAGTGTCCATCCCTGCTGCCTCCCAGGGAGCTGGTTGTGAGATGGTCGTGTGGGACCCTGGAAGGCCCAGGAAAAAGCCTTGTGCGTGCATCCAGTACTAAGCTCTATGCACACATTTCCCAGAAGCTCACACTAGCTTGTAGTCCCTGAGGAGACAGTGAACAGTCTCCCTGGTAACCATCATCCTCCGTCGTTAGTTGTTGATGTTACATTTTGTTTTTTTATGAAAGTAAGCTGTGCTGGGTACATGCCTGCAGGAACCCTGGCACGGTAAGCCAGCTAGCCTAATGCCAGGAAAACAAATATTTGTGAACAAGTGTTTTCTCTGTAGGCTGTAAAATACCCCCTCAGTTCTCAGAATCTGTCATGGCTTGGGTTTGACAAGCAGGCATTTGAGCTCAAAGCACATCATGTTGTTCAGACCTCAGCTATTTCTCCTTGACAGAAGGAAGTCTGTCCAGGTGAATGTTTCAGGAGCTGTCAGGGAGGGAGTCTCGGGCTCTGACGGGATGCGGGGGCAGAGCCCAGCCAGGCCTATGCTCCTGTACACTGTGTCCTGTGAGGCAGGGCAGGGTCCCCAGGCAGCCACTCTCGCTGAAGGCTGTGCTCTTACTTACCCGGCAGGGATGAGGACATGAAATTCCCCATAAGAAAACATCCTTGAAAATGTTTCTGTTCACTCCAAGTATACGCCATTTTCTTTCTAAGCCCATTCGATAGTAGAAAACTATTATTCTTAAATGGATTTTTAAAAATTGTATTTGATAAATAATAGCATGTACATGCTGATTTTTATTATGCATTTATATTACTTTTGCTTATAAAAATGCTATGTGCACTTGATGGAAAGCATATGAATGTGGAATTAAAAGTATTTCTCCCCTCCTCCCCACCTCCACAAACAAGCAAGAAAACAGAACCAAGCCTGCACAGTGGAGCGCGCTAGCTGTGCAGAAGCCGTTTCCCTGCTTTGGAGCCCTGGCCCCTGACTCCTTCTATTCTGTTCTTTCCCCTTACATGCTCTCCCAGAAGACCTTGGGTCAGGACAAGTCCACAGAGACCCTGGGGCTGTCAGAAAGACACCTAAGGCAGAGCACCCCCTATACCCCCTCTGCTGCCTCCCCAAAGGCAGGGGGACGGGGGGAGCAGTTTCTCATTAGCCCTCCACCTGCAGGCCTCTTCATAGGCAGCCAGCAAAGCGGGTGAATGAGTTTTTAACAAAAAGCAGCATTGTTCACATGTTGTAGGGCAGGGCTAGTCCTAATCCTATTTCCCCATGTAACTGGACACCTCCATCTCAGAGTTGTAGACAAAGATCAGGGCAGGCCAAACGCCCATGGTTCCCAGGAGACGAAACCCAGCATGAAAGCAAGAATAATATTTTTCAGGCCAATAGGTGGCCATGAGGCAGCCTTGCACAAGAGGCAGACTGGCAAAGGCCGTGCCGTGGTGATCCGGAAATGCCAGGCTCAGGCCACATTCACCCCCTCAGTGTGTGTGACAGTGACTAATTACCCTTCTATTTCTTATTTTCATTTCTGGGCCCGGTGGAAGTGTGAGGCCAGCGCTGGGAGGGCAGGGGTACATGGGGCGCAGGGGAAGTGAGAGTCCGGACAGGCCCCTGCTGCTTCTGGCTTCTCTTAGGCTCCAGCCTGGGGGCTCCTCAGCCTGGGGTTGCCAAGGCAGAAGTTCTGGCTTGAAAGCAGTTCCTCTCTTACGGAACTAACAAGTCTTAAAGATCCCCAAGAAAGAATTTGAAATAAAAAGTCAGCATTCGGGCTGTGTTTTTTCATCCGCCTTCTCTTGCTGGGGACTGGGAATCGTTCAGCTAATTTTCACTGTTTCACATGCGCGAAGCAAGTTTCATTTCCTGGTGCATCTGCAGACCTTGGGCTACTGTGTTTGGGTTTCCAGCACCACTGGGGAGTCTCAGTTTGTAAAAATGTCTCCCCTTGGAACAAATCCTGGAAGCCTGACAATGAGCCCAGACCATTCCTGTGCCTTGAATGGTACGTTTTGTTCAACTCTGGAATATTCTGCTCAGGGAGAAGAGCTTTTCCTTCCAGCTGTTTTCTTCCTTCGGCAAACCACAACTTGAGGCTCCAGCAGGCTCTCTGGGATGCAGAGCTGGCAGTAAAGTCTGTTGTCCCAAAAGGTAGGGCAGCTGAGATGAGCAGCCTCTCAGCATCACCTGTTGGGGAGCCTGGAGCTCCCTTATTTTTTCCTTTAAAGAGCTAGGAATTTGAAGCTATTAAGGATTAATCCATCACAGTCACAATTCATCCACAGTTTTTAAGTTCTGAGCAAAGACTGAAGGCAGGAGCAGAAAAAAGAGGACTGAAATGATAGAAACCACACTGGGCTGAGGATGTGGGGAGGGGCCTCGAGGGGCCAGGCGTTTGTTGGGAATCTACTGTGCACCAAGCTCGCTGCGGGGCACTTTATACAACTTCTCTCATTGAATCTTCAGAATAACCTGAGAGAGTTTATTTGCCTCGTTGGTGAAATGCAAAGCTGAAGGGGTCAGAGGATTAGGGGACTTGCTCTGAGTTACACAACCAGGATTTGAACCCAGGACTTTGCATCCCAGACTCTTCTTCCCAGGATAGGGCGCAACGATGGGCATGCTCTTTGGAGTCAAGTCATAGTTTCGGTGCTCAGTAGCCATGTGGCCTTGAGCAAACTGCTCATTTCTCTAAACCTTAGTCTCCCTATTTGTGAAGTGGGAACAATATTAACACCAATCTCTTGGGCTATTTTGAGGAAAAGGAAGTAGCACCTATAAACTGCTTAGTTCCATGTGTAGCACAGAGTAAGCCCTTAGCAAATGTTGCTATTTCGTGGGTGCTGATACTTTCGTTATCTTTCTCATCATTGTGTCTCATTAGAATATAAACAGAGGGAACTGCGTTTTGTTTACCTACAGAAGGAGAAAGAAAGCAAAACATGGAGGTTCTTTGAAATACAGGGAGAAAAGGTCTTTGGAGGAGTTCTCAGCAATATCAGTCAGGCTATCTGACTTCCCCACTGAGGTTTCTTTGATGAGATCATTAGACAAGGGATCAGAGAGCCTGATGTGAATGTCCCAGTGAGGCTGGTGTCCCATAGCCAGGGGGGTCAGTCTGAGTCTGTGCCGCCCCAACCCCAACCTGGCCCATTGTCCTTCCCCTTCTCCTGCCCTCTTGGGCTCAGCACTGCTTTCCTTGCAAACTACAGCCCACCGTAGCCCGAGGCTGAGACACTAGTCCTTATACCAGCTACCTTCTCCAGCAGGTCACAAACTCCTCTGACAATTGGACCATCTCTGGCATTCCAGCCAACCAGCACCGCCTGACCCTCACCAGACTCGACCCCGGGAGCTTGTATGAAGTGGAGATGGCAGCTTACAACTGTGCAGGCGAGGGCCAGACAGCCATGGTCACCTTCCGAACTGGTGAGAGTCAAACGTTGCCCCTTGCTTAGGGTTTCCATGGGTCTAAGCAAGTTCCACTGGCCCAGGTAAGAATTCCTGCTCACCTTGCCCCAGCTGTTCACCTGAACTTCATCTTTCCTTCCAGCTACCACCTCCTTGTGGTTTGTGTGCTAGGCTGAGGTCCCAGCTCTCATCAGGAGAGTTGCCAGCCGGCCTCTCTGGCACCCCTTCGTCCCTCTCTCACACAGGGGCCAGCAGTAGTACCACAACAGAGCCAGTGTCGGCCGAGGCTGAGCCCACACCCTCAGTGCCCTGGATGCTTATTTGCATCACTTTGTCACGCCCCTCAGCAGAGTCTCAGGCAAAAAGGACTCTGTGGGAGGGAGATCTAATGCCTGCTCTCTCCCTTGCTGACCACAACCCATTTCCACCCAGGACGGCGGCCCAAACCCGAGATCATGGCCAGCAAGGAGCAGCAGATCCAGAGAGATGACCCTGGAGCCAGTCCCCAGAGCAGCAGCCAGCCCGACCACGGCCGCCTCTCCCGTAAGGCCCGAGCAGCAGGGACGGGACCCGCAGTCAGGACTGGAACTGCCTCAGAGGGCCTGTTCCCGTGGCTGAATGGGGTCTTGCTTCTGTAGGTCCAGGGTTTTTGTGACATTTTCTTGGCATCTCCCATTTAACCACAATGAGGAAATGTAGTTTGGAGCTTTTTAAATAAAAAGCTGGCATTGATGCTGGGCTTGCTGACTGGGTGCATCTAGAGAGCAGCAGAGGCCAGAGCGGTGGCCCTTGGGCCTCCACACTCTGGCTTTGCAGAAGGAGAGCATAAGGGGTCTTAGCTCACAGCCTTCGCCCAAGAGAGGGCAGCCCGGGCAGCCGTGGGGAGGTCTGACGTGAACACCAGTGGGTGGAGGGCTGTGGGGAGGCGTGGACCCGTCAGGAGCAGGCCAGGCCCAGTGGGCATCATCTCACCCTGCTTCCTTCCTTACTGGGTGCGGTCTTTCCCAGCCCCAGAAGCTCCCGACAGGCCCACCATCTCCATGGCCTCCGAGACCTCAGTGTACGTGACCTGGATTCCCCGTGGGAATGGTGGGTTCCCGATCCAGTCCTTCCGTGTGGAGTACAAGAAGCTAAAGAAAGTGGGAGACTGGATTCTGGCCACCAGCGCCATCCCCCCGTCGCGGCTGTCCGTGGAGATCACAGGCCTAGAGAAAGGTAGGGGCCTGGCCATGCTGTGGCCTTGGCCTGATCCCCCAGCTGCCCCTGACCACCTGGAGGAGGATGACGAGCCTGGGATCCCCTTCTCTCGGCCCAGGCCCCGCCCACCAGATGCCTCCGTGTTGCTGTCTGTGGTGGTTACCACAGTCCTACAAGTCTTCCGCCTCCCTCCAGAAGAGCATCCAGAGCCATCTTCCCCGCAGCCTGGCTCTGAAAATGGCGGGTGTTCTTGTGAGGCCTTTGAGAACTTGCTTTGGGGAAGGGCTGCCCAGAAGACCCTCCAGGTCCTGGGCCTTGAAAGGCCACGGGAGAATCAGAAGGTGTTTCCCAGCTCCTGAGTTCAGTGAGTGTCCCTCTCACCAGGCACCTCCTACAAGTTTCGAGTCCGGGCTCTGAACATGCTGGGGGAGAGCGAGCCCAGCGCCCCCTCTCGGCCCTACGTGGTGTCCGGCTACAGTGGCCGCGTGTACGAGAGGCCCGTGGCAGGTCCCTACATCACCTTCACGGACGCGGTCAATGAGACCACCATCATGCTCAAGTGGATGGTAAGCGGGCCTGGCCGTGGACTGCAGCGGAAGACGGCCTCCCCTAAACGCCCTTCCCTGTGAGCCTGGGGATTAGACTCCCCCAAACTGGGCACCTGAAAGCTTCATCAGTGGAATTTGGAAGGCTCTTAGTGGCTGGAGCTGCTCTAGTGGTCTCCTGTTGATTCTGGTGCCTTGACCTGGTAGACCTCTCCCTCCTTCCTGCCCTTCCCCTGATACCACCGGGGATCCCAGCACAATTGTTCAGGGCCCCTTCTCAGCCACAGGGGCCCTCACATGTCCAGGGAGATCAGAAGCAATTGAAGTCTTTGGAGAAATGGCAGTTTGTTTCTTCTCTTCAAAAGCTTAGGGACGTCTAGGCTAAATAAAATAATGAATGATCTTCACAACATTTTTCAGAGAACCTCAGGGATATCATTAGAAATCTTTGCCAGGGGCCCCAAGTGAAATTCAGACTCTGGACTGGGGTGGAAGCTTCATACACCAGTGGTTTTGCTTTGATGATGTTTTCTCTGCCCATTGTCAACTTGTTTCTTCTCCATTCCCTATAGTACATCCCAGCAAGTAACAACAACACCCCAATCCATGGCTTCTATATCTATTATCGACCCACAGACAGTGACAATGATAGTGATTACAAGAAGGATATGGTGGAAGGTGAGACACAATTCTGTGTTTATAGCTTCTGTGTGCTATAATTTCCTCCCTGGGATGGGGGACAAGGTGTTGGTGAAATCTGGCGAAGCATAAACCTGCATCTGGTGTGACACAAAGCTCTGAGCTCCATGTCATTGACTCATTCATAATACCCTTGAAGCTATCAACTTCATGAATCCACATGGTGATGGGACAACATGGGTGGACACCCAGAACATTTCCTCCAGCGTTCCTCCATACACCACCCCTGTGCCAGTCAGTGGCATCCTTCCCCACACACTGCCCCAGCTGAGTCTAACTATGAGATTGGGATCAAGAAAACCATGTGCACATTGCCATGCACCATTCTCTGACTCTCTTTCCCAGGGGACAGGTACTGGCACTCCATCAGCCACCTGCAGCCAGAGACCTCCTACGACATTAAGATGCAGTGCTTCAATGAAGGAGGGGAGAGCGAGTTCAGCAACGTGATGATCTGTGAGACCAAAGGTGAAGCTCTTTGGGTTCTCTCTCCTGTCTTGGTGTTCCAGCAAGGGAAGGCAAAGTCACCATTCCCTGTGCGGTGCTGGGTCTCTTTTCCAGGAAGACTGTTTTCCATATAACCTCAGACTTGGTCATGTTTCACTCTCTACTCATTTGTCTGTGCCTAATACTAAATAGGCTATCATGACACCTTCAAGGAACTTGGTAATTAACTCATCCATGAAATCACGGGATACACCTCATTCTTAAGTTGGGAACTTCCTATAAATACTTTATTCCAGCAATGATATTTGGTGCTTCCATGGGTTGGTTTATTTAACTGAACTACAATCCCATGAGATGGGAAAGGAAGTGGGCATGAGGAAGCTGCATACTTTAGCCAAGGCCATGCAGCCAGTTAGGGGTAGAGCACGCTTTGGGCCGGGATTACCTTAACTACAAGACCAGATCCTTTCTATTGCACTTAAAACATGTTAAACGTAGTCACATAATAACTTGTTAATATTTGCACATTGGTCAGATGGAGAGATAGCATTATCTCCATTTTGCAGGTACTGAAAGTAAGATAAAGCAGTTGTATTGCGAAGAACATAATCAAGAAAGGATCACAAAGGAATAGGAATAGGGACAGAACAACACATTTTCCTCTCATCAAGGCAACAGCATTCTCTCTTCGGCTTCACTGGCTTTCAGTCATTCAGCAGATCCTCCCTGAGGCCTCTGTGTCTCTCCCTGCCCTCTTCCGTCATGCACACCGGAGGGAGGGCGGATACATGCACAGCCCAGAATCCTGGATCACCTGGTACAGGGAGTGCCCAGAGGGAGGAGGAGGCTTCATAAAGCCTTCACACTGGTCTGCTGGAAGACTGAATCTCAGGCCAGGATGAGGAGAGAGTGGCCTGGGGGACAAGGCTGGACATAGCGCCAGACGGTTGGAGTGTCAGGTACTGAGAAGGAGGTTATGGGAGTGAATGCCCAGGAAAGAGGCCACTGAGGATACTGTGAGATGAGCCGGTGCAGCCAGGGAGAGCGGGGGCCACGTGAGGCTGTGAGGTGGGGGAGGACTGTCAGTGGATTTGTCTGCTGAGATGGGTTCTTGGTGACTGCAGGGAATGGGCTGAGGGTTGAGAACTGGGGCTCTAAAGTAAAGAGAAGGGACGGGTTTGAGTCTCTTTTCTAAGGAGGTGTCCGTGGGACCAGGGACTGCTTGCGCACTAGGGCTGGGAGACAGTGAAAGGAGTTTCCAGCTGGAAGTACTGCCACTTATTAAAATGGCAACAGCAAGAAGAGAAACAGATTTCATGAGAAAGGAACAAGGAAAAACCACTTGGAGGCTTACCGAGTGTTTGGCTCTTTAGAGACATTGAAATGAAGTGTCTGATAGGAAGCAGGGCTCCTGCCCCAGGGAGGGGGTCCAGGTGGGGAGATTCGTTCGGGGGTCTTTAGGATAGAGGTGGAAGTCATGGGACTAGGTGAGAATATACAGAGAGTACAGACAGAGGGGAGCCAGGAAGGCCTCCCAGTGTCTGCGGAGGCAGACGGTACAGAGAGGGAAGGAGAGGCGTACAGAGCAGCAGAGAGGTGGGGAACATCAGGGGACAGAGTCCGAAAGCCGGGGGAGAAGATGGCCACTAGGGCCAGCAGGGTCAGCTGCACCTCCTAATACTCAGCAAAGTTGAAGTGAGGAGCTGATGGCCTTGACTCCACCTCTGAATTGGCATCTCACATGTACTGTGTGTCCTCGTGAGTCCCGGAACACCCGTCCTCCTGTTGTGATCCATGCTAATACGTAGTACTTTGTGTCTCATTCCACCAGCAGGTCGCACACTCTTGGGTGTGGGTAAATTCTTCCATTCCCAATTCTTTTTCTGGCTTCCTGCATTTTAAATATTTTCTTCCAAAAGTTCACGAGCTCTTCCCAAAAGCACTACACCACTTCTGCTGGAAGTACCTGGTCCAACTCTGGTGCATGGCTCACAGACATCTCAGGCTCTGCTTTGAAATGTAAGGGTCAGGTCTCTGCCACACCACCAGATTTCACATTAGATGCCAATTTCATGCTGAGTGTGGACGCCATTCAAATAAGAGATTTTGAGGCCCAATCTAGTGCGTTTGACCCCACTTCCCACACCCAAGGAATGGGGGTAGTTTTTTTTTCTATTTGTTGTGAAGGAAATATCAAGGAAACATATGCTGAAGTGAGTTTTGTCCACAATACAGCTCGGAAGTCTTCTGGCCAGCCTGGTCGACTGCCACCCCCGACTCTGGCCCCACCACAGCCGCCCCCTCCTGAAACCATAGAGCGGCCGGTGGGCACTGGGGCCATGGTGGCTCGCTCCAGTGACCTGCCCTATCTGATTGTCGGGGTCGTCCTGGGCTCCATCGTTCTCATCATCGTTACCTTCATCCCCTTCTGCTTGTGGAGGGCCTGGTCTAAGCAAAGTGAGTGACGCTTTCAGTGGGAGGAGCCTGGGCGGGAAATGGGGGCTCCACTACGGAGGCCTGTGCCTAGGTCTGCGTCCACAGAAAGCTCAAGCCCGAGTCCCCCAAAGGTCTCTGAGGTCAAAGAACACCTGACGACTGGACCCCTCCCCCGAGCTAACAGACCTCAGCTTGGGGAGGAGGAAGGAGGGAAAGTTGGGCTCTTCTCTGCACCTTTGGAGCTCGGGACCTATGCAGTGCTACCTTCTTGTGTCCGAAGCTGTTCCTCTGACCGCATGTTCCTACTTTGAGTCCATCCTGCCTGTTCGCTGCGTGTGGAGCTGCCTTCAGCTTTCCCCTCTATCCTGGAATCTTCCAGTCACTAATTTCTGCTTCAGATGGCAGGACATCTGGTCAGCCTGCCTCCTCTAAATATTGCTGCTTCTTTTCACTCGCCACTTCCTGCCCCCAAGCCCTGGACCCTGTATCTCCCCACCCTTCTCCCGGCAGAAGAGTCTAGGTGTCGGGTAGAAGTGGGCACACGAAGGAGACTCTAAGAGAAAATGTTCTCCATCTCCTGGGCACTGTCAACTCTCTGCCTACATCCTTCGACCCTCTGTGGCCAGGAGCGCCTGACGGCTTTTCCAACCCGTCCCAGGCTCCCTTGGCCTAAGCACACCTTTGTTTTCCTATCCTTCTAGAACATACAACAGACCTGGGTTTTCCCCGTAGTGCCCTTCCACCTTCCTCCTGCCCATATACTATGGTGCCATTGGGAGGACTCCCAGGCCACCAGACCAGCGGACAGCGCTACCTCAGTGGCATCAGTGGACGGGCCTGTGCTAACGGGATCCACATGAATAGGGGCTGCCCCGCGGCTGCAGTGGGCTACCCGGGCATGAAGCCGCAGCAGCACTGCCCAGGCGAGCTTCAGCAGGTAGTGCACTCTTGGGTGTGGATGGCAGGTATGGGACACCCAGGAGGGAGTGACTGGGCTGCCTTGGGGGACCTCCTCCCTCCTAGGGCCTCAGCCCGGACTGCTGGGCCGGGCTTTGTTTAGTCAGGAGCAGATGCTCCTGTTGATCAGTGAACACTGGAAAGTTACCTGGACTCCCCGGTGTGGCCGTCTCATTACTCTTCCTTTTGAGCAGCAGAATGACACCAGCCGCCTGCTGAGGCGGACCCATCTTGGCAATGGATATGACCCCCAAAGTCACCAGATCACCAGGTAACCAGGCTTCTCCCCTTTTACTCCCAAGCCCCACAGCCTCACTTTCCCTTTAGCTCCTCAAATCCAAGGCCAGTCACTGAGAGCCAAGCAGTAGTGCTGTACTCAGGGGTCCCCGGAACTGACAGTCATGCTCCTCTGAGCCGTTGCCCTAATAGGCAGTTGTTTCATTTGCAATTGCGGTGCCCTTTCTGCCTGGGGGCATGGGTTGGCATCTCGGAATCCTCCCTTACTAGGCAGATCAGAAGCACTCACCACAACTGACTTTGCCCATGGGCCCCTGGACACCTGACCTCACATCCTCCCACATGGAATAAAATGGAAATGGACTAGAATGATCAGTGAAAATGATGGTGTGGTGCCTCTTGATGTTCAAAGGGGAAAGCAGTCTTTGCCCCATCTGAGCTCTCACCAGCTCTGATACCCTCAGACAGGGAGACAGCCAGCAGGGGGTGGGGCGACAGGCCTACCCTGCCCGGCCCCACCTCCCCATCTGGGCTTGTGCACTGCAGGGATCCCGAGTCTAGCCCGGACGAGGGCTCTTTCTTATACACCCTGCCCGATGACTCCACTCACCAGCTGCTGCAGCCCCACCACGACTGCTGCCAACGCCGGGAGCAGCCTGCTGCTGTGGGCCAGTCAGGGATGAGGAGAGCCCCCAACAGTCTCGGCCTAGAAGCAATGTGGGATCCTCCATTTCACTCAGGTTGGTGGCAGGAGCAGGGCAGGGAAATGGAACAGGCTGGGGGTGACAGGAGGGAGGCATCCACAAGCCAGTAGTGACAGTCTGCAAAGGGGGGGCTTGGTAAGGAGCCTGCCACAGCATTGATGTGGGAGGGATGGGGCATCGAGGGTGGCTGGCCACTTTCCTTCACTGCTGAAGGCCCAGTAGGTCTGTGGGATGTCCAGGTGGGTTCTACTCCAACGCGATAAGCTGCGGTCCTCAGCCTCTGAGAAAAAGGCCATTTCTCCATTTCAGAGGAAAAAGCCCTTTTTGGTCTCTGCATTTCAAGGCCATTCACAAATACCATTTGCTGCTCATCACACTAAGAGGCATTCTCTAATCATTCTGAAATGCCTTGCTTTGTTGAGGCTTGTCTCTTAATTAAGGAATAGGGTTGCCTCAATCATTAAGGAGCCAAATTCTTATAAACCTCATCATCATAACTCTTTGTACTTCCACAGAACTTTTTCTCCAAGGAGTTCGGGGCCATTCGCACTAAGCCCATCCCATTGTCTCCCTCCATGCTAGTCTCCTTGGAAATCAGTGGATACTTGGTGTCCTCACCAAGTATCCACTCACGTTTCTTAGCTTCTCTGTGTGCATGCCCACGTATAGGCAGATCCTGGACCCTGTCTCTAGGAGATTAAAGTTAAAAGATGCTGGGTCCTAAAGCTTGACCCAGCGTCATTTAAACTGGACCGTGTCCGTCCGGGGGGACTGGATTGTGAGTGGGATGGTTGTAACCAGAAGCCATAGCAAAGCGTGGACTAGCAGCCTAAACACAGAGCAGGGCTTCCTTCTGCGTTTCACGGGCTCTACTGACTTCATGTGCTCCTGCGGTGTGGGCTCAGTGCTGGGGTCTCTGCGGTCCCAGCATGAGTGGGAAATGGGTGCAAGTGGCCCTCCCTGTTTCGATGAGAGACCTCGGAAGGAACCGAAGTGCCCTTGTCTCGGTGGTTTCTGTCCCCTTTCCAGAGCCAGTGTAACCACCTCCACCACAGATAGAGATTGGCCCAGTGTCACTGGGTGTTGGCTCCTCGGTCAGTCTGGATTTTAATGGTTCCTACTCTTTCTTCCCTCAGGGCCCCCATGCTGCTTGGGCCTTGTACCAGTTGAAGAGGTGGACAGTTCTGACTCCTGCCAAGTGGGTGGAGGAGACTGGTGTCCCCAGCACCCCACAGGGGCCTGCGTAGGACAGGAACCTGGAATGCAGCTCTCCCCGGGGCCACCGGTGTGTGTGTCTTTTGAAACATCACTTCCCACAATTTAGGCAGAATCCAATATCCCAGAAAGACTATATATATATATATATTTTTTTTTTTTTTAAAGAAGAGACAGAGAAAATTGGTATTTATTTTTCTATTATAGCCATATTTATATATTTATGCACTTGTAAATAATGTATATGTTTTATAATTCTGGAGAGACATAAGGAATCCTACCTGTTGAGGTTGGAGAGGGAAAAGAAAGAAGCCGCCACCTAACAGGAGTCCCCCAGGAAAGCACCGCACAGGCTGGCACGGGACAGACTCCTAACCTGGGGCCTCTGCAGTGGCAGACGAGGCTGCTGGAGGCCCACAGATAAGCTGGCAAGAGGAAGGATCCCAGGCACATGGTTCCTCACAACCACGAGGTTGAAAAGCAAGGGTCACGGTATCACAGCCTGGAGATACCCACACAGATGGCTGGATCCGGTGCTACTGGAAACATTTTCCTAAGATGCCCATGAGAACAGACCAAGATGTGTACAGCACTATGAGCATTAAAAAACCTTCCAGAATCAATAATCCGTGGCAACATATCTCTGTAAAAACAAACACTGTAACTTCTAAATAAATGTTTAGTCTTCCCTGTAACCTTCAACTGAGTCATGTGTGAGTCAGCATTTTCTTTAGATGTTAGAATTCAGTCTCTGAGTATTTGAAGAAGATACCCACTTACAATATTTTCAGGTCCTTCAGAAATGAGATCTGGAAAAGGTAGCAAAGGTTTCTCTTTTTTGTTTTTTAAAACAGTGAATGTCAGTTGCGCTTGGATTCATACAGAACACATTACTGTTTCGTCCACAAGGGAACCGTTGTACAACAGACCAGGAAAAACAGATTCACAGTTCTCTTACCAACTGGACTTGAGATGAATTTTAGGTCATATTGAAGACATAAACCTAATCTTTTTTATATAGGTGTGTGTTGAAGACCAAATATTTTCTCCAAAATACGATAGCTAAGTGCTATGCCACACATGGACATACGGTGTGTGATAAATTCACTTGGTGACTTCCCTTCTTTCCAAAGATACACCAACATTGCCAGAGTAGTTGACTCACTAGTTTAAAATCAACATTTACATACCGTTGTCCAACCAAAGGATCAACCATAGATTCTTTTTTTAATTGAAATTTTAAAATCTTTAATATGTGGAAGTGGAACTAGATGGAGACTGATGCTTGCAAATGAAAACCTTACTACACTTTTGAGTTTTGGGGCTGGAGAGGGTGGGGGGGAGGGCTGTATTTTCTAGATTTCAGTAAAATTGAGTTACAGATGAAATGCCACTTGAGACAATCTCATTAAGTGGGGGCCAGACCCTGGCTTCTAAACCAGAAGAATTCGATAAACAGGGTCCTAGGGAAGCCTGGGACATTGAGTCACTCTGACTGTTTAGGGCAAGTGCATCCTCTGCTGGCCAAAATAAGTATAGCACCTGCTATTCCTCAGACTTCTGCATCCTTTTTCCATCAACAGCTCAACGTCAGAGAGAACTTCTTGTGGAAATGCAGCGTGGTTTTCAGGAAAGCAGTATTTTAAAAATATTTTTTAAAAAGAAGGACTGTAAGGAACAGGTAAATGATAGGAAATGAGAAGCAGAGCAGGGAAGAGAAGAGAAAAAATAAGAGACTGTGATTTCAGACAACCTGGCATCACGGCCCAGAGCTCACTTCTGGAGTGGGTAGAGCTAAGGCTCTCAGTCATTGCTTTGCTATCCAGAGGCCTCCCAATCTGAGCTGTAACTCACCTTCTAGCCACACTGGTTTTTTACGTTTTTCCTTTTTTTCTCCTTGATGATCTAAGATAGTTGAAAAATGAATTTTGGTGAGCTTTTCTGAAGTGACATGTGAAACATCTGCTTTCTGCACAGCACTGGAATCATAGCTCTCAATGGTTTTAGCTCTAAAGAAATGTTTAGCGCATGGCTCACAGACCTCCCTAAGTGGGGAGCCCGCTGTGGTAGGACAGGCTGGCTGGCAGGCATGAGCAACTCCTTTATTCTGAAGTCGTGAGAGAGGGGCTGGACTCTGCGGTGTCTTTTTCTTCTAATGCTGAGATTGATCATCGGTGATACTATGGATGAGAGTTCAGAATAGCCAAGTTATATGAACAATTGACCCACAAGTAACTCAGTGTAGGCTGATTTTTGGCCTCACCCTCAGAGGTGAGGCTGCTCCTCTGGGAGCACAGCAGGAGGCAGGAAAGTGTGCCAGGGGCAGGACAGCTTCCCAGCCACCCACCCATGCCACACCTTGCTGGTCTACTTGGGTTTGAAGCTTAACTTCCCAAAGATTCAGGTGCTCTAACTTAACTACAGATTTAAGACTAAGCCTGGAATCAAGTTGAAATGAACCTAAAGCTATCAACGTATTTTGTCCAATTCAGAATAAAGTAATTGAGTGTTAACTGTCTTGTCAATTCCGCAAACATGCGGAATGAAGCCCTGAATATTGCAGAATTAACTAGTGATTTAGTCTAGCTCAGTTTGGGAATAATTATCCCGATTAGTTTTCCTCTCAGTTGAAATGCGCAGTGAATCCTGACGTGGCTCTTCCATAGACTCTAGGTTCACTCTTGCTGCAATCAGAATCAGAATTTCAGAATGGGAAGGAATCCATTCTACCAATCCTTCATTTGTCAGGTAATAAGGCCCAGGAAGATAACATAACTTCTCCTGATTCTCTTACGAAGGGGATGGTATCGCCTCTAGACCTTTCTCAGAGACCAGCCACTCTCTCTAGGTAGCTGCTGCTTGCAGCCGCCAGCCCCTACGAAGGCCCCCGTAACCCTCACCTGACATTTACACCCTGTTCAGCCCCCTCCCACATCACATAGGGTCAGCCTGTAACCCATATGACAATAGTGACGGTATGTCACTTCTGGGTTTGGGCTGTAAAAGACTGTGGCTCTTGTGTGCGTCATTCTCTCTTGCTCTCTGCCTCACTCTTGGATCACTTGCTCTGGGAGAAGTCATGTCCTGAGAAGCCCTATGGAGAGGCCCACATGGCGAGGAACTGAAGCCCTGCCTAATGGCCAAGGGAGTGAATTTGTTAGTAGCCCCTCCAGCTCCAGCCAAGCTTCAGATGGCTGAAGCCCCAGCTCCTAGTGTGACTGCAACTCCACGAGAGACCCTGAGCCAGAACACCCAGCCAAACTGTCCCCAGATTCCTGGACCTCAGAAACCCTCTCACTCCTGGGTCAGATCATAAGTTTGTTGTTTCAAGCTAAGTTTGGGGTAATTTTTTACCACAATAAATAAGGCACTCAGGGCTATGACTTGCATAGTTTTAAAAATACTCAAAAGGCACACATGGTTTAGGATATACAACAAAGAAAGTGATTTTTTAAAAATAAGTGGGTGCTCTTCAGTAGAGAAGTGACTACATCAGAAATTAATGGTGACAAGTGAAAACAATAAGGTATTCTGACCTCTTAAATAGGAATATGAAGGAATCTTAGGAAGAAAATAGGCCAAGTTGCCACCTCTAAGAATATTCTGATATACAAAGAAAGCAAGTCCTGTATCTAATTTTGGGGGGCAGATTAGCAGGTTAATCACAGGTGAGGAAGACTTGGCATTGCTGAGTTCCCTTCTATATTTATGCAATGTTCCCTTCTTCACCCACCCTTCTCGGTGACCAGCTTATCCTGGAACAGCCTCAATGGAGTTGCTCATTAATACAAAGGTCTTAATCTAAAGAGCTATGCTCTGTTACTAACAGGATTCCAAATGTCAGTGAGATTATCCTTCAGTGGTTACAGCCATGAGCTTCCATGAGCACTTACCCCCAAACCAAAAGGATGCTCTTAAATTAGTTTAAAATGTTATGCGTAATCAAAAGTGATTGTGAAAGATGATCTCTAAGGTAAATCTATTTCATTGTCTCCTCGTCTATATCAAAACCAGCAAATGGCCCAAGTAAAACCTGAAGAAAATGGCAGAGGACATGAGAAACTATGGGGAAAACTTAGAATTCTGATGGAGTTGCAGAATCTTTAGAGAAAAGCCTCCTTATTGACTGTTTTATTAAGCACACCCCTCTGGTCCACTCATAACTGAGGAGTCTACAAAAACTGGGCTATCCAAGAAGGCTGGTTATTTTCCTGCTTTCTGCCAACCCAAAGCAAACCGCTCTGCCGTATCTGTTTGTATTTCCTGACTCCCGAGCCCTCAAATAACTGCTTTATGAAGTCAACAATGCCAAAACTGAAAGTTGCAATTCTGCTCTAAGATATAGTTGGCAAAATGTCTTTTTCTCCTGCATCCTCTCAGAGAACACTTAATGACATCTAAGTTTATTTTCTAAGGATCAAGAAAACAAAGTTTTCTCACGAATTGCTGAATGATAGTTTTTCTTGCCAATGGCTAAAAATTCAGCATACCCCCGAATCGAATTTTCCTAAAACAAAATATATTACAGATGATTTACAGCAATCATGAAACAGCCTTCTGAGACTTCATATTCAATCTAGTGGGTTCAAAACATCTAAAATGATTCCGTTTCATAACAGAGGTTGGGTGCTACATTGGGTTCTAAGATAACCAAATTGTAGAGAGATTCTTAAAGCTATGTGACTGGATCTGGTTTTAGACTTTCAAACAAGTTAACTTTAAAGTAATAAGATTGTTGGAGGTGACGAGGAGACAGAACTTCGGGTGAGTTATGTCAGAAATCTTGCATGGGTTTGCAAAAACAGCAAACTCAAAGGTCCGCGGGCTGCATCTCTTTCTCTTGTGGAGACCGAATCGGGGGGAGGATAAGACCACCTTTCCTACGCAAAAGAGCAATCTCCTCCTTTAAGGCTGAAATCCTTTCCGCCTGGAGTTGGATCAATTCAGTGACCTCCTCTCTTGCCACAACATCTGCTTCCCGAAGGCTCTGGAAGGCATTGCCCTGTTGAAAGAAAACAGCTCCCTGTTGAAGCATCATTTGGCATGTGAAAAACCTCATGCCTTTATACTGTGTATCTGTGATGAGTGCTGGCCTGACAGTCACCCTACAGCCACTGCTCCTTAATCTTAGGAGGCTTCAATTCCTCTGCTAAAATCCCACCATTAGAAATGTGTGCCTTTGGACTAATGAACAACTCTTCAAGTGCAAATCCTCTTTGGATGAGTATACTTTAAGCTAGCTATCAGTCATTCATTACCTGGAGAGCTCATCACTGGAATAATAAAAGACAGAGTATGTCTTCCTTTTTCTGTACAGCCCGTATTTCGGTTCCCAGAATGAAATCTTCTGTTTCCTCATCTGAGTTATTTCCCAATCCCGCTGAATCCTACTCATGTTTCACACATCACTTTCAGGGAGGCCTTCTTTGCCCCATGGACTAGGTTAGGATTTCCTGCTTTCTGTTTTATTGAAACATCCATTATACATATATATCACTATAATTTACAGAATATTATATGGTTCATTCTGAACCATATAATATTTATGATATTTGACCATTTTTTAAATCTAAAAGAATGGCAACTTAATATGGCATGACCAAAGTGCTTGTTTGATACCTATCTTTCTTGCTAGATGCTGTCTTTTAGAAACAGGGCCCCGTATGACTAAGTCTCACCACTCTGCCAATACCTGCCCTAGTGCCTTCTACATAAGCAGATGCTCAATAACATTCAAATGCATGAATACATCTGTGAAAGGAAACACATAATACTTGTGTGATGCCCACTCTGTGCAAAGTGCTTTGCATATGCTCTCTCATCTAATCCCCAAAACAACTCTGAACTGGGTGGTATCATTCCAGTTTTACAGATAAGGACACTGAGATTCAGGGAGTCATTAACTGGCCAAGTCAAGCTGGAAGCAGGGTTAGAATCAGGTTGCCTGATGCTAAAAGTCCATACTTTTCCCATTACTCCTATGTACTATAGCAGACCTTCATAGTAAGTAAGGGTTACCCAGCACCCTCTGTCTCTTTTCCCTTGCTCACTTTTATTTTAGAGGCCATGAAAGCTAAACACTAACCTTACCCATTTTCTCTTCCAGCTAGAGAGAGCTAAGTGGATATAATCTGAAACTTTTGCTCCTTAATAAAAGGGACAGAAGAGGCTGGTGCATGGATGTGAAACATGGGAGCTGAAGCAGCTGCTGTGTGACTTTGAAGGAAACTTTGGGAAATCACAGAGATACGGGCTCTGGCATCATGACCTACAAAACCAAAGCCTGTAGTCATCTCCCTCTAGACTTCTTGTCAAGTGAGAAAAATGACTCCTATTTGTTTAAGCTACTCTCAGTAGGGCTTTTGGTTACTTGTAGCTAAAAGCATGCCTCATATACCAACTCATGCCGCGTCAATCCGGTGGGTTATTTTGAAGTCACCTCAATTTCCCCCCCCTTCTCCTCACCAGACTCAATCAAATTTTGGCTATTCTTACTTTGAAATGACTTTTGACATTTGACACATTTTTGCTGTCACCAGCTATATCCCAATTCACGCCTACATCATTGTAAGAAGCAATGGAGTCAGCCTTGGAGGCAGACAAACCTGAATTTCAAAACTAACTTCACCATGCATTAGCTCTGAGAGCTTCAGCAAGTTACTGAGCTCCTCGGAGCTTTAGAAGGTAGTGTTTTGAGGATTAAATGAGATATCCTATGTGAAGAGGCCATACATGTAAAGATATACTGTGTAAAGAGACAGACACTAGTAACTTCCTCTCCCATTCAACTGATCTCCTGCCTCTAAGCTGTTTCCTCTCCAACGTATCTGGACTGATCAAAGCACATCAGCTCAACACATGTTGACTGACTGCTCAATCTGTGAAGATTTGGGTTAGGTATTAACCTTCTCAAACACTGCCTTGATCCTTCACTCAAAAGTTCTTCAGTGGAAAAAGACCCTTCAACATTCAAATTCTAGTCTTCTTTCACATCGAATCTTCAATTATAAGCCTTCCTAATCCTCCTAATTCACTTTTCATGGAATAAACAGCATTATTTCTTACTTTGGGACTTTTGTTTAGACCAATGATTCTTAAACTCTAGTGTGCCTCAGAATCGCTGGGAAGGCTGGTTCATGCAGACTGCTGGGCCCCTCTCCTAGGGCTTCTGAAGCAGTACAACTGGGTTGGGGCCTTAGCACCTGCATTTCAAACAAGTTCCCAGGTGATGCTGATGCTCTTCTTCAGAGGACCAAACTGTTAGAACACCTAGCTTAGACCATTTCCAGGGTGCTGAAAGAAAATATAAAGCAAAGAAGACCAAGAGAAACAACTGGCCTTTTGCAGGTAATATTGTTAAGTATATAACATAGAGTTTAGAATATGCTATACACGTGTTAGGTTCATAGAGGGCAAGACTTAGATTGGGTAAATATTTATTAAGTATTATCCACCACACAATGTATTACACACAATGTAATACACACAATGTATTAAGTATAACGTTAGGCTGGCTAAATATTATATAATAGCAAGTTGAAACCCACACAAAGTAACAAGCATTTTAATAAGATAACCGGGTAGATTTCACCATTCAAGATGCCCACTTCAAGTCAAATGAAATAAGCAGATATTGGAAATAGATGTTTGATACCAAATTCAGGGAATATAATGGTGTCATTATTTATACCTAAGTAACCTTACACGTCTCCAGGACCAAGGCAATTCTATTGATTAGTACGTATATGAGTTCATGGCACCCAAGAGGCATTCAATAAAGCTAGTCCCTCAGGCCCACTGTAATGTGGCTAACACCAACTCAGTGTCCTGAGGGATGCAGATGGTCTGGAAGTGGTCCAAGATCAAGCAAGGTTTGTTTAAATGCCAGTACTTAACATTCTTGTGAATAGCTACCTTTAACAGAGCTTCCTCAATTCTGAAAAAGGGTCTGAAGAAAAAGAACATACCTGCTGATTCTGTAGTGTATTCAACCGAGAGTCAAGTTTCTTCTTTTCAATACACAAATCATTCATCTGATAAAGCTTTCTGGTGTGTTCTTTTGTCTTCATCATCAGTTCCCATCGCATTTGAGCAATCTTTTCCTACCAGGGTAGGAAGATGCAAAATAGATGTAGTGAATAAGAGAAGAAATGAAGAAAAATGAGTGTCCAGATTTGGTCAAAATTATCAGGCAAATGGAACAATGTGCCCATATGAAAATATAATCAGGGCCGGGCGCGGTGGCTCAAGCCTGTAATCCCAGCACTTTGGGAGGCCGAGACGGGTGGATCACGAGGTCAGGAGATCGAGACCATCCTGGCGAACATGGTGAAACCCCGTCTCTACTAAAAAATACAAAAAACTAGCCGGGCAAGGTGGCAGCACCTGTAGTCCCAGCTACTCGGGAGGCTGAGGCAGGAGAATGGCGTAAACCCGGGAGGCAGAGCTTGCAGTGAGCTGAGATCCGGCCACTGCACTCCAGCCTGGGTGACAGAGTGAGACTCCGTCTCAAAAAAAAAAAAAAAAAAAAAAAGAAAAAAGAAAATATAATCAGAAGCCAATAGGAAAATGCAACAGAAACAATTGCATTGGGCCTGGTTTAATTAAAGATAAAAATGTAAGCATGCTCAAGAATAGGAGTAGGTAGAAATAAGATAGATATGGACATCATTGTATTATTGAGGAATGAAATCACTATGCATACTGATTGCTGGTACTCATTACTTAAAAGGAAGGATGATAATTTAAGCAGCTAACTTTTCTATATTGCTCTTTCTCCATCTTTCCCCAGTCTTGGCCCCGGACCCTTAAGGTAGATGGCTTCAATGGCCACACATATGTATAATGGCTTTCTTTTGTTTTCTTATTGCTCCATTAGTTGCTCACTGCAATCTCAAACTTCTGGGCTCAAGTGATCCTCTGCCTAAGCCTCTCAAATAGCTGGGACTACTGGTGTGCAACACCACACCCAACTAATTTTTTTTATTTTTGGTAGAGACAGTGTCTCACTATATTGCCCAGGCTTCCAACAAATCATTTTAGATTGCATATATTATTGCCAACATTTCCTTAATAGGGACCAGTCCCACTGACATGAACACTATTTGCTTCTTTAAAGTACAGTGGTACATGTTGGATTAGAAAAGTTGAGATGGAACCATTAGACAACACAGCACTAGGAAGCTCTTCTTCTACCCCATCTGCTAATGAGATAAGACAGGAAGCTGAAGAAGTCATCATGATTTTGTGGACTTATAAAATCTTTGTGAAAGCTCCTACCACTGAATCAGGCTGGAACAAGGGCATGGCTCAGGGAACAATATGTAGACATTAACATCCTCTAAGACTCTGTCAGCCAAACAGTCTATGACTTGTTACCAAATTTATTACTTAAAGGTGTTTCATCATTTCCAAATTGGCACAGCATGCAAAAAGCCATACAGTAATACAATTCCAGCCTGAGAGGAGAGCCACTCCATTTCTAAAACTGTCAGAGTAGTTACACTTTTTTAAAAAATTTAGGTTCAGGCATACATGTACAAGTTTGTTACTTAGGTATATTGTGTAATAGTGAGGTTTGGGTTTCTAGTGGACCCATTACCCAGATAGCAAATGTTGTACCTAGTAGGTAATTTTTCAACCCTCACCCCACCATCCTCCCCTGGATGCTAGAGTCCCCAGTGTTTATTGTTTTCATCTTTATGTCCACATGTACCCACTGTTTAGCTCCCACTTATAAGTGAGAATATACAGTATTTGATTTTCTGTTTCTGAGTTATTTCATGTAGGATAATGGCCTCCAGCTCCATCTGTGTTGCTGCAAAGGAAATGATTTCATATTTTTATGGCTGCATAGTAATCCATGGTATTCTATATACATATATATACATACACACATACACAGCACATTTTCTTTACCCGAATGCTGTGAGATGATATTTCATTTTCTCATTGTGGTTTTAATTTACACTTCTCTGATGATTAGTGATGCTGAGTATTTTTAAATATAATTTTTGCCTGCAGAACATTTATACATTAATGTAAGTCTCAAAATGGGACCTCTCCATAATCTTTCATCCATTTCACATCATATTTATATGCACCCTGGACCCCAAAACCTAGTGCTGGTGCTCTCACTCCAAGATAAACAAGTCCCTCTAACTAAGTGAACAGTAAGGAAGCCGAGAGAGGCCTAAGATCCTGGGGCAGCCAAACGGGGCTTGCAGACTGGCTCCAGCTACACAGATGCTTCACGGTACCACTTCCTGCTCCCTGAGATTTCTTGCCTCCAACCAGATTCAACCAAAGATCACCTGCCTTCTCCTCCTTACCTCCCACATCTTCATCTCCTTCGCATTCGCTAGCTCCTTTCGAAGTTTTCTGATCTTCAGTTCTTCAAGTGTTGTATTAACAGAAAGCGTCTGAAGGGCTTCCAGGTTTACCACACGGCCGAACTTGCTGATCATGAGCTGACGGACTGTTTCCTCCATTTCTAAAAGAAGACAGTCACGGGCTCAGGTTGTTCAGTGGCTCCCATTGTTATAAATGAACACCAGGAACAATAAAGTTCTAAGGAACTGCTTTTGCAAGATGGTGAAAGATTTTATGCCATCAGTGATTTTTCTTCTGTGATTTTTTGCCTGCTGCTTTCCTCATTTAAAATGCCCATTCAGTATTGTCTTTTCACCTTCTGAATCCTGTATAAAACTGACTCAATGTTCCCAGGTGGCTCACAGACTGATCTGCCCCTCCTCAGACTCTTAACAGGCACCGACTAGATTATGAGCTTGTCAACTTTTTCAAATATGGCACTTTACAGCATCTAGTATTAAGAACAGAGCAGGCACTTCAGAGAAGTCTCCATCTTACTCCAAGTAAATAATGACAGTCCCTTTGGGAATTCAGGAGGCCCTGCATGGTCAGCCTGCCTACCCTGCTTTCTCTTGCCCCTGCTTTCTCATGCCTCTCCTCCTTACCACCCTACTCTAGACACACTGGCCTCCTCTGTGCTTCTCAAACATGCCAGGCTCGCCCCAGCCTCCCTTCCTCCAATCTGCACTGCTTTTCCCCAGAGACCCACATGGCTTGCTCCTCCCAGTCCATTTTCTAAAAGCAAGCTGACACTGGAGCTGTGTCCAAGGGCAGGCTCTTATCCTCTAGCCAGGGAGAACCGCCTTTGATCAGGCGTGCTGCCTTTCCATGGAGCCTGTCCCTGCCCCTGCCGACCGCAGCACTCTTTTTCTCAATCCATGTTTAATTTTCCTTCTTAGCAATTATCTAACATGTCATATCTAACATGCAATATCTTTTACTTTGGTTTTTTCTTTCCCCAGTGTGAGAACACTAGAACACCTCTCCAGGAAGACATGATCTTCCAACAGGACTTCCTCAATGTCCAGACTCTCCCCTGAGCAAAGTCTGAGGGCCTTAATATGTAGTGAGATGATTCAATTATTTTATAGTGCAGAAATTAGTATTTGGGCATAACTGTTACAATTTACGTTTGAATTAGAATAGTACAATTGGCATGGCTGCCATTATGCGCAATCCAGGAGAGGCTATTCACTTTCTATCCTATGTGTTACCCCACGGACATGTATAATGTGGTGGCCATGATAATCAGTGATGCAAATGAAATGATGAATGGATGATGGGCACGTGTGCTGGCCTGTGGCTGCCTGCCTGGCCTCCTCAGTAAGAGCTTTGATTTCGCCTTAGCCCCACCCCCATGCAAGGGGTTGCCCTCTCGCACAGCAGCCTCACATACCACAACATGTACTCTGATCCTTGCCAGCTCCATTGTGGAGCCAGCCCAATGTCCTTTTCCTGAGCTGACGAGGCCAGGTAATGCTCACTAGGGACATAAAGTCTGCTGGAACACTTACTACCCACATTCCCCACGGCCATGGGCTGTGTTCTCCCTAGAATGGATAGAACTTTCTCCTTCTCATCCTCATGTTCTAGGCTCTCTTCTTCTTCCCCATTGGATCTAGGGATGGAGAAAGACAACAAGCTAACTGCAGTGTTATTCATCACTTCTAAGCCATATGGTCCAGCCATATATCCCACTTCTGGGCACATATCCAGAATAAATGGAAGCAGAGACATAAATAGATATTTGTACACTCATGTTCATCACAGTACTATTCACAATAGCCAAAAAGTAGGAAGCAATCCAGCTGCCCATTGACAAATAAATGGGTAAACAAAATGTGGCAGGTACATATAATGGAATATTATTTGCCTTAAAAAGGAAGAAAATTCTGACACACGCTACAACATGGATGAACCTGAAAGACATTATGCTAAATAGAATAAGCCAGTCACAAAAAGACAAAGACTGTATTATTCTCCTCATTATGAAGTACTTGGAGTACTCGAGTTCATAGAGACAGAAAGTAGAGTGGCGCTCTCCTGGCGCGGAGGGAGAGGAAATGGGAGTTACTGTTTGGTGGGTATGGAGTTCAGGAAGATGAACAGTGTTCTGGAGACGGATGGTGGTGATGGTAGAACAATCATATGAATGTACTTAGTGCCATTGAACTGTCCATTTACAAATGGTTCAAATCATAAATATGATGCTTTATTATTTTACTGCAATTTAAAAAACAAACTTAGAAATGATTAACCCTAAAATAAAAGGTTGATAAATGAAAATCACATAGTTATGGTTCATCAAAAGCCACCATAAAACAATCAACAAAGTAAAAAGACAACTCACAGAATTGGAGAAAATATTTGCAAACTATCTATCTGACAAGGGGTTAATAACCAGAATATATAAGGAGCCTGAACAACTCTATAGAAAAATATATACTAACCCAATTTTTAAATGGGCAAAAGATCTGAAGAGATAGTTCTTAAAAGAAGACATACAAATGGCAAACAGGTACATGAAAATGTGCTCAACATTACTGATCATCAGAGAAATGCAAATAAAACTACAATGAGATATCATCTCACCCCTGTTAAAATGGCTTTTACCCAAAAGACAGGCAGTAACAAATGCTGATGAGGATGTAGAGAAAACAAAACCCTCATACACTGTTGGTGGGAATGTAAATCAGTACAACCACTTGGAGAGCAGCTTGGAGATTCCTCAAAACACTAAAAACAGAGCTCTCATATGATCCAGCAATCCCACTGCTAGATAAATACCCAAAAGAAAGGAAATCAGTATATTGAAGATATACCTACACTCCCATATTTATTGCAACACTATTCCTAATAGCCAAGATTTGGAAGCAACTTAACTGTCCCCCAATAGACAATGGATAAATAAAATGTGGTACATGTAGACAACGGAGTACTATTCAGCCATTAAAAAATAAGATTCAGCTGGGCACAGTGACTCACACCTGTAAGTCCAGGCTTTCTGAGGCTGAGGCAGGCGATTGCTTGAGCCCAGGAGTTTGAGACCAGCCTGGGCAACATAGCAAGATCCCATCTCTACAAAAACATGCAAAAAATTACCCAGGCATGGTGGTGTATGCCTGTAGTCCCAGCTACCCAGGAGGTTGAGGCAGAAGAATCACCTGAGCCCAAGAGGTCAAGGCTGCAGTGAGTCATGATTGCGCTACTGCACTCCAGCCTGGGAGACAGAGTGAGACCCTGTCTCAATGAGAGAAAGATCCTGTCATTTGCAAGAACATGTATGGAACTGAAGTCATTACATTAAGTGAAATAAGCCAGGAACATAAAGACAAACTTGCATGCTCTCTCTTATTCATGAGAGCTAAAAATTAAAACAACTGAACTCATGGAGACAGAGTAGAATGACGGTTACTAGAGTCTGGGAAGGATAGTGGGGGTGGGGGATGTGGGTTAATGGGTACAAAAATAGTTGGATAGAATAAATAAACTCTGGTATTTGATGGCCCAGCAGGGTTACTATAGTCAATAATAACTTAATTGTACATTTTAAAATAACGAAAAGAGTATCACTGGATTTTTTGTAACACAAAGGATAAATGCTTGAGGTGATGATACCCCATTTACCCTGATGTGATTATTAGACATTGTATCTCTGTATAAAAATATCCCATATATCTTATATATATACCTACTATGTACCCACCAAAAATAAAAGTTGAAAACAAATTTTTAATTATCTTTTAAAAGCCTCCACAAAAGTGAAAACAAAAAACCAAAGGAAGATATTTGGAAAACCCATAACCAACAAAGGACTAGGATCAAAAAAATTAACTCCTACATATCAATTTTTTAAAAGGCAAACAAATCAAGAGAAAAATTAACTAAATACACGAACAGACATTTTATAGAATAGAAAACATTAAAGGCCCAAAGATGTACAATATGTGCTTAACCTTATTAGTGGTTAGGAAAATGAAATTAAGACCATGAGTTACCACTTTATACTTCCTAGTTTGGCAAAAATTCAAAGTCTAATAAGATTATGTATTTTCAATGATGTATGTAACTCAAAGGGGACTCTTAAGTACCACTGATTGGAGTGTAAATTGATATAATCATTTTGGAAGAGAATGTGACATTATTTTTTAAAGTTAAATGCTTATATGCCCTACCACCCTGTTCTACTTTTAGGTATGAAACCCTTATACTTTTAGAGACACTTGTAAACATACACCATGTACAAGAATTTTCATAGCAGAATTGTCAAAGCAAAAAAACATAAGGCAATTTAAATCTCAGCAGAAGAATGAATAATTTTAGTAGAATCATATGATATATTTTACAGCAATGAAGACAACAGCTATATGCTATACCACATCTACTCTTAGGAATATATTAAATGAAACAGTATGTTTCAAAAGGCTACATATGATATAATATTTCTACAAAGTTCTAAAGCAATATATTATTTAGAAATACATGTAAATATGTTATAACTATTTTTTAATGAAAGGGAATGTTAAACATAAAATTGGGAATAGTGGTTATCTCTAAATATGGGGAGACAGAGAATGGGATGGAAAGAACGAACACAGGTAGATGTTACAGTGTTGGTAATGTTATCATTAATAAGTTGGGTTGGTGGGTTCATTCTGTTGTCATACTCCACTGCTTATATGTACGTTCCACATATCAAGAATTGCTAAAGTATTTTAAAAGAGAATTATCTTTACACTATACATCTTATACTCTATACTTCAATTTTAAGTGGGTTAAAAACCCAAATGCGAAGGGCACTACTAATTAGGAAACTACTGAAAATTATCTTTTTAAATTGACAAAAATTGTATATATTATCATGTGCAACATGCTGTTTTGAAATACATATACATTATGGAATAGCTAGATTGAGCTAATTAACTCATGCATTGCCTCACATACTTTCTTTTTCTTGTTGTGAGAACACTTAAAATTTACTCTTAGCAATTTTCAATAATATAACACATTGTTATTAACTATAGTAATCATAGTATACAATAGATCTCTTGAAATTGTTCTTTGAATCTCAGTGAAATTTTTTATTGTGACCAACATCTCCCCAAACGGTACCCCAGCCAACAACCACAGACCCTGGTAACCATCATTCTATTCTGTTTCTAGGAGTTTAACTTTTTATACTCTGCATATAAGTGAGGTCATGTGGTATTTTCCTTATGTGCCTCTTATTTCACTTAACATATTGTCCTCCAAGTTTTTCCATGTTGTTGCACATAATAGGGTTTCCTTCTTTTTCAAGGCTGAATAGTATTTTGTTGTGTACATATACCACATTTTCTCTATCCACTCATCTGTTTATGGACACTTAGGTTGATTCTGTGTCTTGGCAATTGCGAATAATACTGCAGTGAACATAGGAGTGCAGATATCTCTTCTGCATACTGATTACTAATTTCATTTCCTTTGGATATATGCCCAGTAGTGGAATCGTTGGACCAAAAAATATCTTTATGATCTCAAAATAGGAAAGGATTTCTTAAGCAAGACATACACACATACCCATAGTGCGCACACCATAAATAAGTAGATTGATAAAAATTACTATATTAAGATTTAAAACATCTGTATCCAAAAGATACACCAGACAAAGTAAAAAAAAAAAAAAAAGAAAGAAAGAAAGAAAGATAGCCGGGCATGGTGGCTCACGCCTGTAATTCTAGCACTCTGGGAGGCCAAGGCAGGCAGATCACCTGAGGTCAGGAGTTCGAGACCAGTCTGGCCACCATGGAGAAACCCCGTCTCTACTAAAAAAAACAAAAATTAGCCAGGCGTGGTGGCATGCACCTGTAATCCTAGCTACTCGGAAGCTGAGGCTGGAGAATTTCTTGAGCCCGGGAGCCAGAGGTTGCAGTGAGCCAAGATTGCACCACCGCGAGAGAGGTGAGACTCCAGCCTGGGGAATAGAGTGAGACTCTGTTTCAAAAAAAAAAAAAAAAAAGACAAGAGAAGCATATTAAGAACTCCCTAAAATCAATTTAAAAACAAAAAGTAGAAATCAAAAATGGGCAAAGGATGGGACAGGCAAGTTACAGAAAAGAAAATAAATAACTGGCAAATAAATGTATGTAAAGATGTTTAACTTCATCAGCAATCAAAAAATGTGTATAAAAACCACAATAAAATATAATGTAACATCTCACAGGCTGGCAAAAATATTAAAGTCTGATAATATCAAGTGTTGCTGACAATACAGAACCTGGGTAACTCTCACACACTGCCAGGGAAGGATAAATTTGTTCAACCACTTTGGGTGCAACTTGGCAATACCCAGGAGAGCTGAAAATGTACATATCTCTTTGTAAACCAGAGATCCAGTACTAGGCTTCACCTTCTCACACATGTGCACAGGGAGATGTGTACAAAAGGGTTTACTGTAATTGTGTCTGTAATAATGAAAACTAAGAAATATCTTAAATATCCATCAATAAGAGGCTAAATAAAATCTTTAATATTCATACAATGGAATATTGTAGCAGTAAAGTGAATAAACTATCTGTAGTTTATGGATAACTCAAAAATTGGTTCAATAAAGTGAACCACAAAATGATATAAATATCATCACAATTAAAAATATGCAAGTTAGGTCTCCATATTGTGTGTGGACACATCCATATGTGTGTGTGCACACCTAGTGGTGAAGCCCAAGGAAGGAGCAGCAGAATCGCATTAGAAAGAGATGGGGTTTCAATTGTATCTCAATGTTATCTTTCTTAAGCTGGGTAGCCTTGCACTTGGGTTACTATTGTATTATTCTACATTTTAATCATACGCAAAGAGAAGATGATTCTATGACAAAAGATTTCTCCCTTTAAAATACAAAAGCGAACTTTTCATGCCATCAGGAGAAACGGTGAGTAGCGAGAGGCCATGGTGTTCTTGTTTCCCTTCTCAGTGGTTCTGAGTCTGCAATGACTGTTTTCACTGTTGGAGACAGTCGCCTGGATAATTCCCTTTCTTACCAACAAACCGTACTAGCAAGGCCGTGGGCTTCGATACTCACTATGTATGGTTTTTGTCATTTCTCTCTTTTCTCGGATGAGCTGTTTACGTCTCTCTCTCCATTCTTTGTTGAGTTTTTGCTGCTTGGAATTTTCCTCCTGGAGCTCACGGATTCGTTCTTGCAGCCGTCTCAAGGCATGGTTAGAGAAGACCAAAGTACCAGAAAGATCGCTAGGTATTTCTCCAAATACCACATACTCTATCTACAAGCATAAAACAAATCAACAGCAAACAGTTAAAAACACAGATTCTGTATATGGCAACAAAAAGCATAAGAGGTGCACTTCCTTCTCTGCCCCTTGTTTAGCTCCTTGCCTTTGGCTTCTCCATCTTCCTCACTGAGTAACAGTAACAGTGGCCAGGCAAACACAGAAAGATGCTGTCAGATAGAAAGCCACATGACATCTCTGTGGGGATAGCAAATTCTCCCACACAGATCATGCCTATTATCTACTGCATAATGATGTGACAAACATTTCAGGGCTGGCATACTAGGCAAACCACTACATTGAGCTCATCCAGTTTGGGTCAGGTTACACAAAACACATATAAGGCTGATCTTGTTGTTGTTTTCCTAAAATACAGCTTTTTCTCTTAACCTGACAAAATGGAATACAATGAGCCTTTTCTCTTAATGATATGTATTCCTGCAATTTAATATAAGTTGCAATTCAAATAGAAATGAACAAGAAAAGTAAAAAAGAGAAAATATTTTCCTTTTGTCTTGACCTCCCTCACCAACGAGTAGAGACTAAGCGAAGGTCATTTTAGCATGATTAGTCCATGTATAGATCAAGATGGTGTGACAAGTGATATGGGTATAAGAGCCAAGATTTCACCCTCTGAGCCATTCCATTCTTAAATCATAGGCTCCTCGCTTCTCTAGACTTGAAATGACTGATTTCCAAAGTGCTAATGGGCAATAGAGAAATATGCATGTTTTGATGTTACTCTTTTACAGCAATCTGACAGTGGATAAGACAAGTGTAGGTGTCATTCTACAGGTGGAATTCTCAACAAAGAACCACGATTCTTCCCATTAGTGAACCATGAATCTTTCTCTGAAAAGCTTCGGTGTGATGACGCTTCTCAGACAGGATGGAGCAGCCTCCCCAGATGCATCACCTGGTGGAGCTTGAGTGGAATCACAACTAGCAGTTCATTCAGTCGCTGCTGCTTCTCTCGCTGATAAGCCTCCAGGGCCTCCTCCGCTGCATTCAGATTAGTTGCCACAATTTTCACCTGTAGAAAGCCCCATGTCATGAAATGGTGACAAGACTCAATGAACATACACCTAAAGATGGTGAATGAAGACATCCTGGGAGGAAATAAAGTATGAGCAGAATCTGCTTCGTTGGGCTGTGATTAAGTTCATGATCCCAGTTTGTAACTCAGGAATGCATATTATTTTCTTTCTGCCAAGTTATGATCCACGTCACTCTTTCAATCATTTCTATGACTCCAGAGTTATAAAATTTTGTGAATAAGTACCCAGAAAACATGTCCTCATCTCCCTTTTATTTTGTGCATGAAAAGCAGCCCATCACCATGGAATGTCTTTGACAGAATGGTGGGAGTCTTTTTGGTCATAATGACTTCAACAAATTTCATTGCTTTAAAGCAATGAAACTGCTAACTATAGTATTCTAAAGCACATTCTCCATGTCCTAGAAAACGTGAAAGTATTCCAAATCATTTCCTATTCACAAGAGGAAAAATAATACATCAAAAATATTTCTGAACATGAATGAAGTGATGTTGCTCTAGACAAGAGTACCTAAGAGGGAAAGTGAGCAGATTAAGGCAGAAATTGACCAATATTATACCAGACGTTTAGCTTGGTGGTCTCCAACACGGGATGCATGCACCCCAGATGATTTAAAAAAATCATCTATTGGGGTATAAATTGAAAATGTCAGAATTTCTATTTCTATTTATTTTTATCTCCTTCTATTTAATTTCTGTTTTTTGTGGATGTTTCCTACTGTACAAAATATATAATTGTTCATAAATACAATTTATAAATACATATACATTTATTGTATGGGGAGGGGCTCCATTTTCATTTTTTTTACTTATAGAGTAAACTCATCAGAAATGTCTGGAGACCAATGACTGAGATAAAGTAAGTCCAATTATCAAAAAAGCAATGTCCCCCACCACAATTTAAGGAGAAAAAAACCTGGCCTTAACATTTGAAATGTTTCTTTTCTGAGAAGTCCTAATACTGTCATTACTATGAAAAGGCAATATTGTAGCTAGCAGGATGTGTAGCATTTTGAGAGGATAAATAAGTAGACAGATTGCCATACTTTTTTGGACAATGTATCATATTCCTTTTTGAGGTTATCAACAACTTTCTTTTCTTCAACTAAAGCCTCCTCAATGTCCAGCCTTTTCTCTCGAAGTTGAAGGGTGAGCTCAAAAAGAGCCACATCACAATCTGCCAAGAGAATTAAAATAAAAACCAGCCTCATTTGTTATGGAATGTGGTAGTACTAAAACTGTGAACTTTGGAGATTCAGAATCAATAATGTCTATTTATGGATCCACTCTAGCCAGCTTTTAAGACACTTACGGCTTAATTGTTTCAGGTTGAAATTATTAGTAGTATTAATAACCATAATAATAATAATAGTGTTGATGCTGTGAGCAGTACTCTGAAGCAGGCTTTGTGCTAAGCCCTCTACGTACATTATCTCAATCAAGGCTCATAGATCCTGCAAGGCAGAAACTATTGTTCCCATATATAGGTGAATACCTTAAGTCTCAGAGAGGTGACATAACTGGTACATAACAGAATGGGATTCAAGTGCATTATCTCTCTATTCTTTCCACAGTATCACACTAAGAGCCACCTTTGTCTACCAAGTAATAGAGAATGTAGAAATGGAATACTAAAATGGAATTCAGGAAGTTTAGACCTAGCCCTAGTGCTATCACCACACTAACTCTGAGTCATTGTTCAAGGCATTTAATTATCCTGCTAAAAAGTAATGAGTCGGCATTAGAAGGTTTGTATACTCTATTTCGCTTGTAAATATTATGATTTTTAAAGACCATTGTATTCAAAAGTAAAACAAGATTAAAATTTTATCTGAAATTAAACTTTTAAAATTTAATTAAAACTTCATTTGAAATGTCTAGAAAAACAAATTACAGATCCCAAAACGTCTTTTTTCTCTACCGAACCGTTCATCTATTGAAACTGTAAGAAATTGGTCTGGCTGCTCCAGATGGGTTTCACCAGTGAAAACAGTGAATGTAAATTGCCAAGCATTTCCAGGAGACTAGTCAAAGCGCCCTTACGAAACAGATTTGCAACACAAAGGTTTGAATAGGTTTGTCAAAAAACGAGATTACTCTAAAATATATATGTAAATTACAGTCTGGCATTTCTTTATAAAATTAAACTTGCTACACAATTTATAATTCTAAATCAACTGTCAATTGTCTGCATATTATTTGTCACTCATAAATGGCTGCCTAAGAGAACAGATAATAAATCACCCAGAGAGCCCCCAAAAGTATTCATTAACGTTTTCCCTGACCATACTATTGGAAATAGCAACGTTCCTCTCCACCCTCACTCCTGCACTCCCTTCATTTCTTTTCCCATAGCATGTACCGTCCTCTGAGATTCCGTTTAATTGACTTATTATATTTATTGTCTTTCTCCACCAGACTATAAGCTCCATGAGGATGGAGGAGTTTGTTTTATACTTTGATGTATCCCTAGCATCAGAGAAGTGCCTTAAGTGCCTGGCACATAGTAGAAGTTGAATATTGTTGAATTAAGAAATAAATATCCCAGCTGGGCGCGGTGGCTCATGCCTGTAATCCCAGTACTTTGGGAGACTTAGGCGGGTGGATCATGAGGTCAGGAGATCGAGATCATCCTGGCTAACATGGCGAAACCCCGTCTCTACTAAAAAAAGTACAAAAAATTAGGCGGGCGTGGTGGCGGGCGTCTGTAGTCCCAACTACTCAGGAGGCTGAGGCAGGAGAATAGCTTGAACCTGGGAGGTGGAGGTTGCAGTCAGTCAAGATCGTGCCACCGCACGCCAGCCTGGGCAACAAAGCTAAACTCTGTCATAAATAAATAAATAAATAAATAAATAAATAAATAAATAAATATTCTTATACTTTAAAAAGGGTATTCATTAGACTCTATTCATACATTTTAAACTATCCTTTTTTTTTTAATTATCAGAGAACAGAGATACCAAAAAAGGGCCTTCTCAGTATTGCCAATCAATATTCACACTTCACAGAGAACACATGGTTTTATCTAACTTACTTGTTGGGCAAATAGAATCATCAAAAACCTCATCTTCGGATTCAGACTCATCCTCATCACTCTCCAAGCTAGATTCTTCTTCACTTGATTCCTCACTCTCCTCATCTTCATCTACAGAAAGAGGAGGGCATTGTTAACAAAGAAGCTTCTATATTCAACTAAATACTAGATTTTTAAAGTAAACTATTTTTCAATGAGTTAGTCCCTAGCAAAATAACTCAATATAAGAGTTTAAAATGGTTCAGGACACAAAGAACACAAACCCAAATGCCTGCAGAAGGTTGTGCGGTTACTATCAATGCAAGTCAGAGGGCGCTGAGACCAAGCTGCCAAGCTGTAGATACACACAGTCAGTGAAATAGACCCACAATTCCTAACTCATAAGATGCTCTAAAATCAGAAAAAAAAAAATTTCCTTTTTTTCTTTTTTCTTTTCTCTTTTGAGACAGGATCTGGCTTTGTTGCCCAGACTGTAGTGCAGTGATATAATCTCAGCTCACTGCAACCTTCACCTCCTGGGCTCAAGCAATCCTCCCACCTCAGCCTTCTGAGTAGCTGAACTACAGGTACACACCATTATGCCCAGCTAATTTTTGTTTTTTGTTTGTTTTGTAGAGACAGGGTTTCGCCATGTTGCCCAGGCTGATTCTGAGCTCAAGGATTCTGTATAACTGGGCCTCACAAAGTGCTGGGGTTACAGGCTTGAGCCACTGGGCCTGGCCCTGAAAAGATTTTCATAAGTTATCTGACATGAAGTAATGATCTTTATAGTCTTTATTTAACTTGGTATGAATATTCATGTTTTGCTGCAGAAGCACTAAGATGTTTGATTTTGGGATTCTGTACCAGAACTTGCTAGTGGTATCATGTTGACAAAGACTTTCTCCTTTGACCCAACTTGAGCCAGGCTTCTCTGAGTCCTTTTTCTGACTAGTTCCTGACCTTGAGCTGTGTCTTTAACCTATTTAGTCCAATTCTAGCAAGAATCCTGCAAGTTAGTTTAGAAAAAATTCCCCACCCTTGATATCTGATGAAATTCCTCATCACTCAACCCTTATCACCTGGCTTGCCCTCCGCTAAAAGTCCTATTAAAACAGTCCAGTGAAGAATTACCCTACTTCTTAGTAATTTTCCGTCCACTGACCCCCCACTCTGTTCCTTGGCTATAAATCTCCACTTGTCCTTGTTATATTCAGAGTTCAGCCCCATCTCTCTTCCCTGCTATAAAACCCCATTATAGTAGCCCCCTTGAATAAAGTCTGCCTTATTGTTTTTAATAAATGTCAGCAACGATTTCTTTATAATATCATATATAATATCTTCAGAAATATTTCTGAACACAAAAAAAAATCTGTCCCCAAGGGTTTTGGATAAGGGGTTGTAGACCTTTCCACTCCAACCTGCCCCACTTTCTTTTAAAACACCTTGAGGCCATCTATGAACTACAGATCACCAATTTACAATTTATAAATACAGCTAAACATTATGTGCAAAACAAACATAAGAAGACTCTGAAAAAAATGGAGAGAAGAAAGTAGAGCAACTATGTGCCTCAGAACCTGAGGAACAACACTGTGGCGAGTTCCTTGGATATTCTTTTACCCTCATCTATCTCAGACTTGGAAAAGAGTAAGTTGGCAGCCTAGAAACACCAACAGATCTATAGATACGGAAAGCCTTAACAAAAGCTTGCTATCTCTAGCCAAAGGACCAGGAAAGGGGCAGCCTAGAAGGAGAGAAGACTTTTTGACAGTAACTATTCTATTCCAACCAAACACCAAAGAAAAACTCTGGTACAATCCCCAACTAAATCAGCAAAAGTTAAGTGGGGAGGCTAGACATCCACCCTCACAGGGCTGTAATTAGGTGTCCCACCGCTCCCACTGAATGATGTTAGAGAAGGCCAAGTAAGGAGCCAGTACATTTATTCATGTTGGCTGGTAACCAGCCTCGCCCCCACCCTCACCACCAAGATGCCTGTGGAGGCCATGTGATAGCCCGGACTTCCACTCCCAAGGTCAGTAATAAGGTACTATCCCCTCTCCCCTCAGGGGTGGTATCAGAAGAATATTAATAGAGAGGCAGGACTTTCATCATTATCAATAAGTACTCACCATCACCACCATGTTGATCATAGAAACTACACGTGGAGCTGGAACTCACACCCATATATAGCAGTATCAAAGAGGTCCCCCATCCCTTGGGTGACAATGAAGTCTGAATGGGGAATACAGGCTTCTACCTCCACCAATAGTAAGGAGACTCCCATCCCTTTCCTTGTCAGATTGGTGTTTGAGAAATTCGAGTAAAACAGAAAATTTAAATAAGATACAAAGTCTCATAATATGAAAGTGTTTAGGATTCCATTAAAAGTCACTTATATCTGATATGGTTTGGATCTGTGTTCCCACCAAATCTTATGTTGAACTGTAATCCCCAGTGTTGGAGGAGGGACCTGTTGGGAGGTGACTGGATCATCGGGGAGGAATCCCCTGAATGGTTTAGCACCATCCCCTCAGTGCTGTTCTCATGACAGTGAGTGAGAGTGAGTGAGTCATCGTGAGAGCTGGTTGTTTAAAAAGTTGTTAAGTTATGGGGACCACAATTCAAGGTGAGATCTCGGTAGGGACACAGCCAAACCATAACACAGTGTTATACACAATAGCAAAGACATGGAATCAACCTAGGTGCCTATCAATGGTGGGCTGGACAAAGAAAATCCACATATACACCATTGAATATTACACAGCCATAAAAAAATAATGAAATCATGACCTTTGCAGCAACATGGATGGAGCTGGAGGCGATAATCCTAAGCAAATTCACACAGGAACAGAAAACCAAATACTACATATTTTCAATTATAAGTGAGAGCTAAAAACATTGAGCACACATGGACATAAACACAGAAACAATAGACACTGCAGACTATTAGAGTGGTGAGGGAAGAAGGAGGGGGCCATTGGCTGAAAAACTACCTATTTGGTACTATGCTCACTATCTGGGTGCAACATACCAATGTAACAATCCTGTACATATATCTCCTGTATCTAAAATAAAAGCTGAATTTTTTTTAGAAAAAAGAATGCAATAGGTGATATTACTACAGACCCTGTAGACACTAAAAAGATAAGGATATTCATGCATTAATTTGGCATCTTAGATGAAATATACCAATTCCTCAAAAAAAAACCACAAACTACCATGATTCACCCAATATGAAATAGATCATTTGGGTTGGGCGCAGTTGCTCACGCCTGTAATCCCAGCACTTTGGGAGGCCGAGGCAGGTGGATCACGAGGTCAGCAGATCAAGACCATCCTGGCCAATATGGCAAAATCCCGTCTCTACTGAAAATACAAAAAAAATTAGCTGGGTATGGTGGCATGTGCCTGTAGTCCCAGCTATTCAGGAGGCTGAGGCAGGAGAATCACTTGAATCTGGGAGGTGGAGGTTGCAGTGAGCAGAGATTGCACCACTGCACTTCAGCCTGGTGACAGAGCAAGACTCCGTCTCAAAGAAAAGAAAAGAAAAGAAAAGAAACAGATCATTTGAACATTTGAACAGCCCTATACCTATTAAGAAAGTTGAATTTGTAATTTAAAACCTCCCCAAAAGAAATCTTCAAATTCAAATACTTTCACTGGTGAATTCTACAAAGTGTTTAAAGAATAATTACTACCAATTCCACGCAAGATCTTCCAGAAAATCAAATGGAAAGGAAAATTTCCTGATTCATATTATGAAGCTAGTTTTTATTACCCTGATATTAAAACCAGACAAAGACAGTGCAAAAAATAAAAACTACAGAAAAATGATCTTCATGAATATAGACAAAACATTTCTCAATGAAATATTAGCAAATAGAATTAATCAATATATAAAATGAATTTTACACTATGCCAAGGAAAGTTTATTTCAGAAATACAATTCTGATTTAATAATCCATAATCAGTCAATGTAGTCTACCATATTAATAGGCTAAAAAGAAAATCACATGATCATCAATCAATGTAGACAGGCATCTGACAAATTTCTACCCCCATTCATGAAAAAAATTCATGAAAAAGAGGAACAGAGGGGAACTTCCTTAACTTAATAGAGTATCTATAAAACACCTACAAGTAACATTATACTTAATATTGAAAATAAAGTAAGAATGTCAGCTCTCAGCACTATCATAGAACTGGATGTTCTAGCCATGCAATAAGGCAAGAAAATGAAATAGGCATCCTTATCAGAAATAAATAAATAAAACTGCTTATATTCACAGATGAAATTATTAGGTGAAATTATTTTCCCATTATTAATGGCAAAACCCACAATTACTTTTGCACCAACCTAATATCATCTACATAGAAATTCCCAAGGAATTTATCAAAACCTCTTAGAACTAATAAGTAAGGTTACAGGATATCAGCTAAACATGTAATCTATGAGTAGCAATGAACATGAGGACACTGAGATTAAAAATACAGTATCATTTAAAATCACTAAAAAAGGAAATAGGTGTAAATCTAACAAAACATGAACATGAATTATATACTGAAAACTAGTATACGATTTTGATCTACAGGGTCTCGCTCTGTCACCCAGGCTGGAGTACAGTGGCGTGATCTTGGCTCACTGCCAGCTCTGCCTCCCAGGTTCACACCATTCTCCTGTCTCAGCTTCCCAAGTAGCTGGGACTACAGCATATTGTACCTTCTAATGGAAAACTCAATGTAAGTAAAGATACCAGTTGTCTCTAAATTAATATACAGTTTTAACACAATTACTATGAAATTTCCAACAAGATTTTTTGCGGATATAAACAATATTATTCTAAAATATGGAAATATCAAGGAACTAGAATAGCTACAACAATTTTACAAAAGAATAATAAAGTAGGAGGAGTTAGTCTTCCTGATTTAAAGGCTCAACATGTAGCTACAATAATCAAGACTGTTGTATTGGTGAAAAGATTGACATATAGATCAATGGAACAGAATACAGAACCTAGAAATAGATCCCCACAAAGATGCCCAAATGATCTGGACAAAGATCAAAGCAATTCAGTCGAAGACAGACAACATTTTCAACAAATGATACTATAGTAAATGAAAAGGCAAGCTACACACTAGGAAAAAATATTTGCAAACCACATATCTGACACAGGACTAGTAAACAGAATATATAAAGAACTCTCAAAACTCAACAGTAAAAAAAGCAAGTGATCCTATTTAAACATGGACAAAAGGAGACATTTCACCAAACAAGATATACATATGGCAAATAAACACATAAAAAGATGTGCTTATTAACTTAAACTACACTATGCTAACTCATACCAGATATACGTAAACACGTGTGCGCATGTGCAAACAAACATGCACACAGATTAACTCGAGGTGTTGGAAGACCTGAAGGTTTATGACTTCTCTTTAGCCTCCAGAGTGTCTCTACGTTGTCTATGTTATAGTGAAAAAAATAGGGTATCTAACAGGTCCCTTAGTTACCTCTCTATTTCATGTTAATGAGAGAAAATAAGATTGTATGCAAGAAAGAAATACAAACCAGCATCTCCTTCAACTTCTTTTTTCTTTACCCGTTTAATCTTCTTCTTTAGGACCTTCATGAGGAAGTTTGCAAATTTATTGTTTTCTCCAATGGCTGTCTGAAAACCAGCATAGAGTGCCTTTTCTTGCTCCTGGAGTTTGGTGATTTCATTCTTTTTCTCTTCCATCTCTTTAAGAGTTTCATTTATTTTCCACTAAATGAATAAAAACAAGAAAAAATGATAAATATTTCTGATAAACCAAGTTCAGAGAGAAATGTACTTTACAATGCAAGGTTACATTTTTGTTGTTGTTGTTTTTGTTTTTGTTTTTTTTTTGAGGCGGAGTCTCACTCTGTCGCCCAGGCTGGAGGGCAGTGGCGCGATCTCGGCTCACTGCAAGCTCGGCTTCCCGGGTTCACACCATTCTCCTGCCTCAGCCTCCGGAGCAGCTGGGACTACAGGCGCCCGCCACCACGCCCGGCTAATTTCTTTTTGTATTTTTAGTAGAGAGGGGGTTTCACCGTGTTAGCCAGGATGGTCTCGATCTCCTGACCTCACGATCCGCCCGCCTCGGCCTCCCAAAGTGCTGGGATTGCAGGCTTGAGCCACCTCGCCCGGCCGGTTACAGTTTACAAATATATTTTTTAAAACATCTTAAAAGAAGTTTATATTTCTGATGTTTGCAGAGCCATCAATTTATTGGTTAAAATTTTATAATTCCTTTGTAAAAATCAGTTACGTTTAGAATTAGAAAATCAGCTTTTTTAGTGCTAAACATCCCCCCAAAATCTAAATTAAATTGAAACTTTTCCTTGAAATTCCTTAAATTGAATATGTGGATGTCAGCTAATATTTTTGCATGTGTAGTCTCAAAAACCAAAGAATTTTTTGTACTGATATATAATAACTAAAACAAAAAGACATATAATTTCTAGTGAAGCTAATATACCTAAAAATGAATGTTACTATGTAGCATATACTATCTATTTAATAGAATCTTTCTTCTTTTAAAACAAAGCTAGTGAAATTTATTTTCTGAAAGTTAATATACAAATATAACAAATAATGGAACCTCATTTCTTATGATATTCAATCATATATTACACTGAAGCTATCATACGTAAGAAACTTACCAGCTTCTCTTTCAGTTATTTTCATAAGGATAACTTAAAATCAAAACTCAATTTTATATCATAGCTTACTTTTTTGTTTTTTAGGGAACCCAGCTCGCCAGGCTGGAGTAGACTGGCACAATCAAAGGTTCACTTTTGAAAATTTTATTCTCCTACCTTACAGAATATCAGACCAAATTTACTAAAAAATCTAAATCATTTCTCTTTGACCATGAATACTAAAGATGGAGAGTAGGTAGGAATAACAGGAAAAAGGAGGTGGGGAAAGAAGACAAGAAAGAGATGAGGGCTAGAACAAGTAGGAGAATTGAGTTAAGAAGAAAAATAAAAAGAAATCAAGCTTCTCCATAACCGCCAGCTAGGATTCTTCTGCCCATTCATACTTGCATGTACTGTTCCTCTTTGTCCAAGGAATTAACACGCTCTTGAAGTATGTTCTCCTGTTTTTCAAAATTCTTCAGGAGAAGTATTTCTTGAAATAAGGTGACATGGTGCAGGTCAGATAATTTCATCTGAGTATCTAGTTTCAGTTTCTGATGTCTAAGGAGACGGAGTTCTGCATCAAAAGTGACAATCAGTTCTTTCACCTGAGAGGGAAAAAATATTTGAGGATACGTTAGAAGACTAGATAAATGCATTTTTAAACTATCTAACAATACTAATTTGTAATAAATCATTTTTTATTATGCCCTTACGGATGGAGAATTGTGTGTGTGTGTGTGTAGTCACAAAAATAAATTCATTAATTACATTAAGTTTGCATAAGTTAATTTATTAAGTGGTAGGAACTGTGTAACTAGAAGTCCTTCCAGCTATTTCTTCACCATTGACTAAGCCATCAATCAAGAATGCCCTTCTTGCTGTACTGTGTAGCTTATGAGCTCTCTGAGTGGGTAGTGTTTCTGTCTCCTCTTTATTCTCCACAGTATCTCTACAATCCCTTTTATATAGTAAGCACAAATAAATATATTTCCCAACTTCTTATGTTGAAAATTTTCAAACCTACAGAATAGTAAATATTTTAAAAAACATAAAATAATCATGAAGTCACAAAAAACCTGTTCAATCTTTTTCTAGGACTGAAGAAATTAAGGTCAAAGGTAGTTTTCCTGATAAGAGCCTAAGTATCCCAAGTCCTAGTTCAGACTTTAATCCACTATGGTCCTACAAATTTGAAGTCTTCAGTTTTGTTCTGATTTTGGTAAAGCTTTCCCCCCCAGTATCACAAAAGAGAATAAGAGGTCAAGAGAGAGCCCCAAGGGCTGATTCTCCTGAGGAAACTGTAACAATAGGAAGAGACAAACCATTCTATGTTTTTAATTAGTTTGTACATGATAGGCAGCCTCAACTGTCAAAAGCCTGTAATAAGTGAGGACCCAGACTGGGGCTGAGGAGAGAAAGAGATCTGTGGGTTTGGAGCAGTGAAACTACCAGAGAAATTCAGAGAGCTGGCTGAAAAAAAAAAAAAAAAAAAAAAACAGAGAGAAGAAAAAATTAAACTTTTAAGTAACTATCACTATAGACTACATGTCTGGGCTCCCCTTTAAAGCTTGTTTAACAAACTTGAATTATTACTGAATTTATTTGGAGGCAGGCCTATATTTTCTTCAGTGCAACACCATTCTTAAACTGAACCACATAGGTCTCCAAGTCTGTAAGGATTACACTTGTTTTATTCTCTCCAACCCCAATAGCCTATAAGCTTTGTGAAGACAGAGAACATGTCTTTCTTAGGAATTGTTGTATCCCTAATCCTATCTATCAGTGTCCCTGCACATAGAACATCCAATAAATATTTATTAAATTAATAAATTAGTTACAATTAAATCAATTAAAACCTTTGACTGAATATCTATGGTATGTTTGACATTGTCCTAGACACTGTGGAGGAATCAGAAGAAGTATACGTGGCCCTTTGCTCAAGAATTACATAATTTAATTTTCAAGACAATACTAATACCCATCAAACAGCAAGGAAAATTAGTGTAAAACATGAGATGCTTATTACAGGTGCAACTGGAGTTTAGAAACAAGGAAAGCATAAGTAATGTGAGCGGAAAATGCTGGAGAGGGTTTGGAACTGAGCCGTGCTTTGATGACTCAACTCTGGAAGGAAGTCATTACTGGTAGAAGCAAACAGCAAAGGAAAAAGCACAGATATAAAACTCACAATGGTGTGGGAGAAAAAGGTGGAGTGAAAAGAGGCAAGAACAGTGAGAAAACAGGGCTGGACAAAGAAGAGATAATGGTGAAGAATAAGGCTGGAAAGCTATTGAGGGCATCACCACAGGGTGGAGATGGAAAGACACACCGAGGAAAGGGAATCCATATGGCTGGCAGCAGAGAGTTATCTCTCCAAGACAGGTTCTTTTCCCTTCATATTCAACGAACATCCTGCCCAACAGGTCCTAGTCTGGACCTGATTTTCCTAGAAATAAAAATAGTTGCCATTCCAACTCCAGAACAATCTCAAACCCAGTAGTCACCATAAACACTTCTACTAACGGAACAAACCACATATTAGAGAAAAAGGATGGTGTGAAAAGTAGAGGGTGCCCTGTTTCTCTGGAAAATTCTTAACTATGTTCCATCCATCATCTATGTTCCATCCATCATGTAAAAGCTGCTCCTCCACTTCCCCTTTACGATGACTTCAGTTGGATGCCAAGTAACTGAAACATGGGCTTCCCCTTCATTCTTTGCCAGCTTTCCAAAACAAAACAAAAAAAAGTTTAAAAGCTCTGTAGTTCTGGGAAGAGCACAATGATTTCCAGAAGGCCAAGGATGGGAAAGAAGCCAAGCCATCACTGAGTGGTGAGTTGGTCAGGGTTTGGGAAAGGTTCATGCAGAGAAATTTAAAATAAATAAAAAACCCAACCCATTTTTTTCCCTTCTCTTCTCTCTTTCAGCTTTAACTAGGAAGAGGTTCACCCCTTACCCTGTTGACCAAATACTGTTGCATGTACACGTGTTTAATCTCATCTCTCTTCATAATTTCCAGCTCCACATCCGTTGGCTCTGCTTTTTCAAATTCCATATACTTTGGTATATCTAGGCTGAGTGTTGATGCCTTTGATGATCTAGACATTGAATCTCGGGTTGTCAAATCCCCATCCTTTCCAGAAGAGAGCTTGAGAAATCCTCCACCTGGGCCTCCAGACCCTGTCTGTTCCACTCCAGGGGACTTTTCATCGTCACTTTTCATATGCTGTTGCTTAAAATTTAGGAGAGCTTCTTCATCATACTGAAATCTCTTTTCTGGAACTTCTTCCGGGTGTATCTGAGGAATTTGGGGAATGGGTATGTGCTTGGATACGTGAAGAGTCAACTGAATGTTCTTCAGTTCTTGTACCAGGCACTGTATTTCCTCAACAACAGCTACTTTAAGGTCTCTAAGAGAGAGAATGCACTTGTTCATGTACCTTTTATTTCCATGGACCTGAAAAAAAGAAGAGGAAGGAAACAACAGTACAACCGTCTGACAAATAACTGCATGGAGTACGATCTGCTCTTTTCCCTTGCTGAAAGGCCTAGCAAAAATTCAAGATAAAAATTCACCTTATCATACCTTTTTACCACCAAGTTTCCCTTTTCTCTAATATTTAGGATTTTTTCCATTTAGCTCCTCCAAGATGGAAGGACAGTTTAGATGTGACCTCTGGTATCTCTTGGCTTCCCACGATTTGTTCCCTCCAGATGGCTTATGTGGCTGAGTTCCCCTGTCCTCCTTTACCACTCCATGGAAGTCCTTCCTGGAGCCTTATTCAAGTTGGATACTCTCTCCAGGGAGGAAGGGAACAGGAAGGCGATTAATGCATTTTCCTGCTGGAACTTTGAATCCCTTGGACTTAGACTCACTTAGGGCTGCCCACCTAGGCCCAAACTACAGGTTAGCCTATTTTCATTCTGAATTTTGGCCACATGATTATCATTACTCCTTGTGTAGGCAAGGCCATGATTCTGAATTTCAGTAGCATGTCACACCAAGAGACTGCAGGATCCTTCCTTCATTCCTTCTCCATTTATCTAAGCCAAGCTGTGCCTCTGCTTCCAGGCACAGGGGCTATATAATCTCATTGCTCTTTCATTACCAGCTGTCTCCCTGGTCTGTGTTGTCTAAATGCCATTCCCAGAGCCTGAGAGCACATGCAACCCTACTTTCTGTGTGCAGTTAGGCTACTAGATTGTCCAAAGGCCATGAAGAGTTACTTTTCATAGGAAGATCAAAAGTCACTCCTTCAAGCAGTCTTACAAAAGCCACATATATATTTACTATCTGCAACACAGAAAACTATATCAAGATAGAGGATATGTTCTGCAACTTGAAAATAAACCTTTAAACCATTAAGGTTTAAATTCAAAAGCCAACAGTTGGGTGAATGACAACCACCTCTGAAGTGTCTGATGGATTGCAGATTAGGCCACCAAGAACAAACCCAAATCACTGATGGCTACACGACCTACCTCTTTAAGGAGTCTCTTCACACATCTATTCTTTCTTTCTAGTTTTACAAATACCACACAAACCTAAATACTGGCTGAGAAAAAAGATGAACAATACACTATTTTAAAAATATTTAATACTTTTCAATGATTTTCAATTTGACCATGACAATAAAGACCATTTATGGATTTTGACCATTAAATTAACCCTATGAGGTATACCAGACATGTCTTGTTGTTAATTGGTATTAATACTCTTTTTACAGATGAAATAAAAGGCTTAGGGAGATTTGTATGACTTAGCAAAGTTCACATGGCTATTAAGTGGCAGAGATGGAAACAGAACTCCAGTCTTCTGACTTGTAGAAAAAGGTGTTCTATGTGATTTTATTTTAACAAAGCAAATTTCAATGTAATGCAATTAAGTTGAAGACATCATACCTGCCCATCTCCTCAACTAGAGTATGAAATTTCAGATTGGATAAATCGTGGTCATAAGAACATTTCTCTACAATGATGGATGTAACATGATGAATAAATAAAAATTACCTTAGAAGAACAACTAGGAAAACAATCCAAATGGTCATTACTAAAATGTCCAAATTGTCCATTTTGATGAGAAACACACAGTTATGAGCTATGAAAACGGATTTGTGGATATGAATTGCCAAGCCAGGACCCTTGTGCTACTGGGATGCATCTCTTTGGTGAAACAGAAAAAGACACCCGTTCCTCAGGACACTTCATTTTCATTTGTCAGATAATTATAAAATATTCAAAAATACTATTAATATATCTGTGATGTGATTGGTACCCTCTCCAAAGTGATGCCTTGAAATGTGCAACCTCCACAACCACACTAGGTTACTGTGTATCAAGTTCTCCTAAAAGTAGTAGCTCAGATGACCTCTAAGCCTTTAAGTGTAAAAAGTCACTTGTCAGTCCAAATGGTGATTAAGGAATTAATATAGCAGGAAGAGGAACTTTGATAAGAAAACGGGGATCAGAATGATCAGGATGATTGAAAGTGGTTTGGAGGAATGCAGACAAAATAACAAAGAAATATATTAGTTTGTTAGCATTGAGTTGCCTAGAAAAGTTTGGAAGTCCTACAAAAAAAAAAAAGAGGCTAAATAATGGCCTTTTTAATCTAAGTCCTTAGTGGTCCATGGCAACGAAAAACTAAATCCAATGAGGACTTGTTTGAATTTCAGAGGTTCAAAATCCACAAAATATAATGCTTACCCATGAAACTGGTACTGAAACATGGTATTTTAAGGAAAGCTCAAAGACAGAATGAGTCTTCTGAGAAATGCTAACTCAACAAAGATGTATTAATACTTCTAATAAGGCCACAGTAAAAAAGAGATAGAGACATTCATCAGAGAGTCAAACTCCGACCTAGAATACTAGATATCCCTGATGACCCTGCCACACCTGTCAGGTAATACCCATCTATAACCCTCAGATACACTGTAAGTATTTGCAGCTGGTTCTTCCATATTAGCTGATGAACCATGGACAAATCTCTTGTCCTATCTGGGCCTCAGTTTCCTTATTTGTAAAAAGAGGACATTCTAGATAATCATGGAAGTCTTTTCCAGTTCTAAATTTCTAAGGTTGTATATTCTTATTGACCAGATAGGGCTTGACCAGATAGGGAAATGAGTGGTTTTAGCAGAATTTAATTAAGAACCCAGGGTGCTTTCTCCATTGTCATAAAATCTGTAGATAAGTACCAAAGAATCTAGGTGTCCTAGTTCCTCTTCCTTCTTGGCAGCATTTATTCTCATGTGCTCATGTATCTTATAGTCTGGGGCTGTCTTCAGATTGAAATCTCCCATATACACCTGGGCTTCTTTGATGGCTTGAAGATCTTTAGGATCTTCATAGTCGTCACCAGGTTTACTCTTGTATCTATTAGAAAAATAGACAACCCAGACACAAATATGACAATAAACTCTAATTTGTCTACATTAATATAGGCATATATTCAAATTTAATCATTATACAAAAGTTTAATTTCAAATCTGTGATGCCACTTTTGTCACAGAGCCCAAGCATTTTTTAAAAGTCAATTACTACTTTTAAAGTATCCCAAGCAAAATAATATACAATTACATAAATAGGAACCAATCACTAGATTGTACTGAAATAATCTGAATTACTGGTAGGCTTTGGTTCACTTCTAAGTAATTTATATTAACGTTGTTACTTATTCTCTTGATATAAATTACGTCTTGGAAATTAGGTGGGTTTTTTAATGACTAAAAAGTCAATTAAACTTTTTTTTTTTTTTTTTTTGAGATGGAGTCTCACTCTTTTTGCCTGGCTAGAGTGAGTGGTACAATCTCGGCTCACTGCAACCTCCACCTCCCAGGTTCAAGTGATTCTCCTGCCTCAGCCTCACAAGCAGCTGGGACTACAGAGATGGTCTCGATCTCCCGACCTCGTGATCTGCCTGCCTGAACCTCCCAATGAGATGGGATTATAGTCGTGAGCCATTATGCCCAGACAATTAAACTTTGTATTTGCATAAGTGCTTGCTGTAAAATTTTCAGAAAAGGTATCTAGTTTAAGATGATAGCATGAGCATACATATTTGCCTCTCCCTCTGTACCCAAATTCCATGAAAATGACAGTATAGAAGTACAAAAAGTTGTAAATTATCAGAAATCTAAGAATGGAATAGAAAGCCATGAGCAAACCAGTGACACTGATCCATTTCTGGAAGACAAAAAGAAGATAAAATTACATTAATGAATAAACCAGACCAAACTATAGCCCAGAATACCCACAAGATAAGGCCACAAAAAGGATTGAATATTATCTTCTTGGTGAAGTCCCTAGAATGCTCCAAGCACAAACAGGACAAGTACAGAATGGAATGCTAGATATATTTAGCAAAATTAATTAAAGGATTGAAAAAAAATGCTTAAACCAGTTGGGCCCTCCCAAACTTTCCCACTTGCATACATACAAAACAGTGGCAATCTTTATATCCAGACTAAAATCAAAGAATTATTCTCTACAGAAACTGAACTCTCTGCTTTGGAAGTACTAAGGTATCTAAAGGTATGGGCTATCATAATACCTTGGTACTAATAAAAGGCCCTTCATTGGGAGATCCCAACACACCTGTCTAATTTTTTAAAGTAAAGTCTACTAGCCAACATGAGCATGTATATGTAGCTCTCAGAGGAAACCCATACCATCTATTGTATTAACTGACAATCATTTATTTGTGTAAAACTGCACTAAAATGAAGGATTACTATTTTTAAAGAAAAAGAAAGGAGAAAGGGAGAAAGGAAAGGAAAGAAAGAAAAAGGAAGGAAAGAAAAAGGAAGGGAAGGGAAGAGAAGAGCTACTTCTGCCTCTGGCCACGTGAGAGTAACAGCACCCATTGTTATCCTCATAATATAAACAACCAGAAAACTGAATAAAAATATGTGAAACAATTATGTTCAGACATTGAAAATAAAGAGCATAAAACTGTAATTCTTGAGAAAAGTAAAAAGACATGATCCTTATTATCTCCTGGCTGCCGCATAGAGGAAATTACCAGCCTGTGGAGTAGGATCAGGATCCCAAACACAGTCCAGGGAAATCACTGACTGAGGAGACAGAGATTAGAGTACAAGGAGGCCAAATTTGGTGCTAAGAAATTTGTGGAAAAGAATATCAGAGGTACACAAAGAAATGCCTCTGAAAATCTACACAGAACCTTAACATTTTGGCTGAGTATTAATCTGTACATGCATAATGTGAACCACCATGAAGCTGGGCAAAGAACAACTCCTGGGAAAAGTACAATTACTGGGAAACTGTAGAACAAATAATTCTCATAGTTTACACATAGCTGGGAATCACTCATGTTCCCACCAACTGGAGAGACCTTGTTGAGTACAGAGGATATTCAAGAATAACCATAAAAAAATCATGCCTTCAAAGACAAAAAGGCATAGAAGATATGAAAAACATTTATCAATCATTTTGTCCTAATTGACATTTATAGAACACTACAGCAAACAACGCAAGAAAGCATATTCTTTTCAAGCACGTATTGAACTTTTATGTAGACAGACTGTATATGCAGGGCCATAACATAGTTCTCCATAAATCTTTAAAAATTTAAATTATATAGACTATTTTCTATTACCACAAACAACTAAATTAGAAATCTAATTTAGGAAGATATTTTTTAAACTCCAAATCTTTGGAAACTAAACTGCAAGTCAAGGAAGTAATCACAAGTGATGTTAGAAATACTTTGGAGGCCGGGTGCGGTGGCTCAAGCCTGTAATCCTAGCACTTTGGGAGGCCAAGATGGGCGGATCACGAGGTCAGGAGATCGAGACCATCCTGGCTAATAACGGTGAAACCCCGTCTCTACTAAAAACAACAAAAAACTAGCTGGGAGAGGTGGCGGGCGCCTGTAGTCCCAGCTACTTGGGAGGCTGAGGCAGGAGAATGGCACAAACCCGGGAGGCGGAGCTTGCAGTGAGCTGAGATCCGGCCACTGCACTCCAGCCTGGGCGACAGAGTGAGACTCCGTCTCAAAAAAAAAAAAAAAAAAAAGAAATACTTTGGACTACGTGATAATAAATATCTACCATATGAAAATGTGTAATGCAGCTAACTCAATGCTTAGGAGGAAATTTATAGTTTAAATGTTTATATTACAAAGGAAGAAGGGCATAGAATCAAAACTTATACACAAGTTTACACACTAAGAAGCAAGAAACTAAAAGCTAATTAAACCTAAGTTAACTAGAAGGGAAGAAATTATAAAAATAATAGTAAATCAATGACAGAGAAAGCAGACCAAACAATATTTTAAAATCTATGACCAAAAGCTAGTTATTTGAAAAGATCTATAATGTGGGTAAATCACTAGCTGGAATGATGAAGAAAAAGAGATAATATGAAAATTAACAATGTAAATAAAACAGAGGGCATCAAAACAGATACTACAGAAATTAAATATAAGGGAATAATATAAACTACTTCATGCCAATAAAATTAACAACTTAGATGAAATGCACAAATTTCTTCAAAGACCCAATTATAAAAACTGACTCAAGAAGAAATAGAACATCTGGATAGTACTATAACAACAAAAATTTTAAATTTGTATTTAAAACTATCCCTCAAAGAATACTTACAGATGGATTCATTGACAAATTCCTTAGTAAAGCAGAAGAAAGAAAACAGAAATCCAAAACATAGAACAAACAGAAAACAAAATACAGAATAGCAGATGTAAGCCCTAAATATACATAAGTACATTAAACATAAATGGTCTAAATATACCATTGAATGACAGAAATGGGCAGTGTGGATTTAAAAACATGACCCAATTGTATGTTGCCTAGTGAAGTTAGTGAAGACACTAACTTCAAATATAAAAGTATAGGTAGGTTGAGGTAAAGGATGGAAACAGTTATATTATTTAAACACTGAATGCTTTCCAAGATAAGGAACAAAGTGTGGATGCTAGTTCTTCCCACTGTATTTCAATATAGTACTGGAAGTTCTAGCCAGTGCAATAACAAAAGGAAATAAGATGCAAACAGATTAGAAATAAAACTGCCCCTGTTTCCAAATGGCATGGTTGTCTACACATAAAATATCAAGAAACCTACCAAAAAAACTCTTACAACTGAGACAGTTCAGAAAGGCCACAGGATACTACATAAACATACAAAAATCAATTGTATTTCTATACTAGCAGCGAATGTGAACACATAGACACCAATATGAAAAACACAATGGTATTTAAAATTGCTCAAAAAAGAAATGCTTACATGCAAATCTAACAAAACATGAACAGAACCTTTTATGCTGAAAACAGCAAAACACTGATGAAAGAAATCAAAGATCTAAATAAATGGAAAGTCATACCATGTCCATGGATTAGAAGACTCAACACAATAAAGATAAAAATTATCTCCAAATTAATACACTGCTTTAACATAATTCTTATTGAAATTATGGCAAGATTTTCTATACATATAGACAAGATTTTTCTGAAATTTATATGGAAAGAAAAGTAATTATAATGTCTAAAATAATTTTGAAAAATAAAATGAGAGGAATCACTCTACCAGATTTCAAGATCTATTATATAGATATATGAATCAAGACAATGTAGTGTTGGTAAGAGGATAGATATATAGATCAACAGACTTGAAAGTAAACCCAGAAATAGACCCACACAAATATGTCCAAATGATTTCTGACAAAGATGCAAAAGGAATTCAGTGGAGGAAATGTCTTTTCAGCAAAAATGCTAGAGTAATTGGACATCTGTAAGAAAAAAACAAATCTCAACCTAAGTCTGATACCTTATTTAAAAATTAGCTTAAATATAAAAAGAAAAACTATAAAATGTTTCAACAAAAATAGGATAAAATATTTAGGACCTAGGGCTAGGCAGAGTTCTTAGACTTGACATCAAAATCAAGATTTATATAAGGAAAATTGATAAACTGAACATCAACTGAATTAAAAGCTGTTGCTCTGTGACAAACTCTGTTAAGGGAGGCCAAGTGCAGTGGTTCACACCTGTAATCCCAGCACTTCGGGAGGCCAGGGAAGGTAGATCACTTGAGGTCAGGGGTTCCAAACCAGCCTGGCCAACATGATGAAACCCTGTCTCTACTAAAAAAAACTGCAAAAGTTAGTGGGGCATGGTGGCACATGTTTGTAATCCCAGCTACTTGGGAGGCTGAGGCAGGAGGATCATTTGAACCCAGGAGACGGAGTTTGCAGTGAGCCAAGATTGCACCACTGCACGCCAGCCTGGGCAACACACGAGACTCTGTCTCAAAAAAAAAAAAAAGAAAGAAAAAAAAAAAGAAAAAAAGAAAGAAAGAAAGAAAGAAAGAAAGAAAGAAAGAAAGAAAGAAAGAAAGAAAGAAAGAAAGAAAGAAAGAAAGAACAAACTCTGTTAAGGGAATGAAAAGATAAGCTACAGATTAAGAGACTAAGATAAAATATTTGTAAACTATATATCCAACTAGCATATAGTACACATCCAGGACTAGTATCTAGAATATAAAAAGAAGTCTAAAATCTCAACAGTAAAAGGGAGAACAATCCTATTCATATGTGAGAAAAAGACACAAAGGGCCATGTCACCAAAAATATACAGATGGCAAATAAACCAATGAAAACATATGCTTATCACGTGAAACTACCTCATCCCAGATTTTTTTTTTAATCCCCAAATCTCTCTGCTGCTTGCAGAGCAGACTGCTTCTCAGTGTCTGTCAGGGTCTGATCGAAAAGTAACATAACATGTCTCCAGGAGCGTTCAAACATTTGGGTGAAATTCTGGAAAGTCTCTCAGGGTCATCTGAAAAGTTGCCAAGATCTCTCTTAATTTGCATTAAGTCCCGTAGGGAGATGGGGACCTTGGCCTAACTGGGCCCAAATTCACTGGGTATCTGTTGGAGGGGCAAGAGTGAGACTGGGGCTTGTTTAGGGTGAGGATTTCTAGGAGAGGGCAAGTGAGGGGCTGAAGCTGGATAAGGAGGTTGGGGTGGATCTGGAAGAGCAAGGCTGGAGGGAGCTCACTCCTCTGCTGGGGGTGCCTCTGGGAGTCATATCTTTAATTTGCTAGGCTTACCCCTTGCAACCTGAGATGGCCAACAGGAGGGCTGGATCAATCCTACACTGTTGGCAAGTCTGGATTGCCTTGCAAGCTATAGAAAGCCTGCACATTTGGGGCTTCAGACCATCTGTCCTCACATCCACAGAAAAAGTCCAACTGCTGAATGGTATAAAAATGAATGGTTCCTTCCTGAGGCCAAGCCATCCTTCCTGTAAATCACAATTTGGCCAAACCCTTGTGCAGAGGGCTATGAGGGGTTTTTCCTCCAGATTCTGAGGGTCAAACAGTCCCAGTGGTTCAGGATACACTCCAGAGGAGTATAAGCTGGGGGTGGTGAAGAGAACTGGTTGCCCATTCTGAAAGACAGGGAATAGAAGCATCCCTCCTTCCTTTCCTTCTTTCAGTGAAAACTCAGGGTGTGATGGAGACAGAAAGCAAGCATCCTCCTTTCACTTTCCACCCCTTATCCCTGAGCTGGCCATAGGTACCACTGCGGTATGTACCCATGAAGCAGGGGAAACCTGGAGAATAGTAGTTAACCACCCTCACCTATGCCTCCATTTCTCCCTGCTGTCAGAAAACTGAGTTCCCTGGGTCTGTTTATGCCATGAAGCATGGTCTCCTTCCATGGGGTGGGGGGTTTAGTCGGCAGGAATTGGTCCTGCTTTACATTGTGCCTGTTGCCTGGCTTTGGATCCCTCAGACTGGGTTTTTCTTTCTAGGGCCTCAGCCTGAAGCTTGGAACCAAGGTTGGGACTGAAAAAGTATTTTAGAGGCTGTTTGTATCTATTTAGAGTGTCTCAAATGTGCCCTGCCAAATCTGCAGTTCTCAGCCAGCAGGGGCCATTCCTGTTAACTTTCTTATCAGAAACAGAGCTAGGGTGAGCCCTCTCACTTAGAAAAGGAAAAAAAACAGAAAAACAGTTTAAGGGGCAAAAAGTGGAGAGAGTCTGGGGGAAGAACCCCTTGCTTAGTGCAACTGGGCCTTTCTAATCCTTTTATCTTTCCTTCAGTTCAGACTAGGTTGAATTCCTTGGCCAGGGGAGGAGAGGTTCCGTTGGCGTGGTGGGTGAGAAGCACATGTCCATTGGCCCTGTGGGGTTGCAGCTACCATCATAGCTTTCTCCTGCCTTGCTCATGACTGTTGGGCTCGACCCTGGCCTGCTGTGGGCATGCCCAGGTGCCCAAGCTGGGAGGAAAAAGGGTAAGGAGAGGTGCCCTGAGCCATGCATTCCTGCAGCTGTCAAAGTGGAGGCATACATGGCATCTCTAGGAACAGTTGGTCTGATTTTCACCTTTGGAGGCTGAGCCTAATGCTCATTTTGCTTAGTAACATTTCCACAGCCTGTAGCAAAACTCCTAACATTATACAAAAGAGATAAGAGCCATTTCAAAGACAGAAAAGAGACAAAGTCTAGGGGTTTCGACCTCCCAGTTAGGGTGGAGTTTTTTAAACTCAGTGAAGAGAAACAGAGCCTTTTACCCGCAGGAAAGAGAAAGGTGGCAGGGTTTTGAAAGAGAGGCAGACCCAAAAGTTTGGCATTCACTCACACTCACCTTCCACAATCCCGGACGAGTCCCCAGTTGAAATGGGAAAGGTTCCCTTGTCCCCCTCGCAGGGTGTGCAATGGGAGTGTGGCTCGCTTCTTCAGTACCCCATTGCTCAAACCTCTAGGGGAGCATACAGACCGGCAGGCTGTGGGGCTCCAACCCCATGGCAGTGTCTAGGGGTGAATGTTTACAGCTGAAGCCCCAATGGGCGTGTGTTACAGGGTGCTCTCTTAGTTTGTTGTCTATAGGCAGCCTGTGTTAACCAGCTCAATTAGACTCCCTTCCTTATCACAAAGACAGATGGATTTCTGTATCCCAGGGTTTCTTGCCTTGGTGTACTGAAAGAATTGGATCACATGTGGGCTTGGGGGATGAGTGCAAATTTTTATTGAGTGGAAGTAGCTCTCCCCCAATGGGAGAACCAGAAGGGAGGTGGTTTTTCCCTGGATTTGGGCCACTCGGCAGCCCCAGCCCAACTCTCCCGCCAAACTCTGCCTTGCCCACTGGTCAATGGCCTGCCAGCATCTATTGATGCCTGTCAGCATGCTCCTGATGACCAGTTACTTGTGTCATCTGCCAATGTGTCCCTTATGATATCCAGCCACTTCTGTGTCTGCCTGCTATGGTCTCAGGTTTTAATAGGCCCAGGATGAGGGCATGGCAGGCCAGGGTGGTCTTGGGAAAATACAATATTTGGGCAGGAAATGCCTCTCCTCACCTAGGTCCGTGGGGGTGGAGCTCTAGCCAGGGACCACTCCTTTCTCTGTCCAGCACTTCCCTTCCTCCCTTCCATATAATTTAAAGGGACCAATCCTTTCCCTTCCCAGCACTCCCATATCAATACCGGATATTTAAAAAAAAGAAAGAAATTAACTTCAGATGGTTAAAGATAAAGGTAAGAGCCAAAACTATAAGATGTTAGAAGAACATACAGGAGAATATGTTTATGATTTTGAGATAGAAAAGCATTTCTTAATTCTTAAAAATCATTCTGACTATACAGTATTATTAGCAAAATAGAATTCCTGGACTGGAAACTCTAAGGATTATAGAAGTTCTACCAAGGTATCACCACCCTAAAAGATCCAGTTGACCTGTTTATAATATCTCCTTCTCTGTTTTTATTGTTTTCACTTTTGAAATTAAATGATAACAATGTCAATAAATATAAAGGTTTTTAAGATATATTATTTTGGGACTCACATATTAAAAAGATAAGCGTTTAGGTTAAAAAAACTCACAGTTCCTCCCATTCTTTTTTTCGCTGTTGAATCTTTAATTGTGCCCTTTCAGCTTTCAATATAAGTTTTCTTGTTTTCTCGATTTGATTTTCCACCATAATTTCACTTAGGGTTTTAGGCCGAAATTTCTTCCCTTTTTCTATTATTGATTCTTCTTGTATGGCAATGCTCCCACCTATACAGAGAATCAACATTTTTCAGCCTTTTTGAGACATAAAAACAAAACTCTCAGATACTGTTTTTAACCTGCTGCATTAAAAAAAAAAAAAAAAAAAAACAACGCAGAGAATATATTGAATTCGTAAATCAAAGTCTTTATTGAGCACTAGGTGTGGTGGCTCACGCCTGTAATCCCAGCACTTTGGGAGGCTGAAGCAGGTGGATCACTAGAGGTCAAGAGTTTGAGACTAGCCTGGGCAATGTGGTGAAACCCGATCTCTACTAAAAATACAAAAATTAGCCAGCCATGGTGGTGTGTTCCTATACTCTCAGCTACTTGGGAGGCTGAAGCAGGAGAATTGCTTGAACCCAGGAGACAGAGGTTGCAGTAAGCTGAAATCTTGCCACTGCACTTCAGCCTGGGGAACAGAGCGAGACTCTATCTCATACAAAACAAAACAAAACAAAAACAAAAATGTATTTATTGACCAACTACTATGAATTCAACCCCATAATAAGTACTGTGGAATGCCAAAATAAAAAGATCTAAGTCACATTTTTTGCTTTTAAAAACCTTATTAAAAAGTTGGCAAGATAAGACATATATTAAACAATTAGAGAACAAGATAAATGATGGTGGACCACTAACATGTTGGGAAAGAGCGTTTCTGACATGATGGCGGGGAAAAGGAGAAAAATCGAGTAAGTCCAATTCGATACATACAATTTGAGGTGGCACATACCAACTGAAGTGCTCTGAAGCCAACTAAAAAACTTGTCAGAAACACAGTCAAATAAATAATTTAAAAATTATTGGCTTTATGGCCAGGCCTGGTGGCTCACTCCTATAATCTTATCACTTTGGAAGGCCAAGGTAGGCAGATTGCCTGAGCTCAGGAGTTCAAGACCAGCCTGGGCACAGTGAAACCCCCATCTCTCTAAAAATACACACACACATACACACACACACACACACAAAATTAGCTGGGTATAAACCCAGTTACTCAGGAGGCTGAAGTACCAGAATTGCTTGAACCTGGGAGGCGGAGGTTGCAGTGAGCCAAGATTGGACCACTTCACTCCAACCTGGGAGACAGAGAGAAACTCTGTCTCAAAAAAAAAAAAAAAAAAAAAAAAAATTGGCCGTATCAACTAATGAGTTTCTTTTCTTTCCTTTCTTTTTTTTTTTTTTTTTTTTTTTTTTGAGACAGAGTCTCACTTCGTCACTTAGTAGAGTGCAATGATGTAATCTTGGCTCACTGCAATCTCTGCCTCTGGCGTTCAAGTGATTCTCCCGCCACAGCCTTGTAAGTAGCTGGGACTACGGGAATGTGTCACCGTGCTCAGCTAATTATTGTATTTTTAGTAGAGATGGGGTTTCACCATGTTGGCTAGGCTGGTCTTGAACTCCTGACCTCAAGTGATCCACCTGCCTTGGCCTCCCAAAGTGCTGGGATTACAAGTGTGAGCCATCACACCTGGTCTACTAACAAGTTCCTATTGGGGAATTACTCTATTCATGTTCAAGCTTTAGATAGATATGAAAAATTAAATAATATGAGATACTTACATAGTTATAAATAACCATTTCATCATATTTCATATTTTAAATATATGGTGGTATAGAGAAAGAAGAGTTTATGTGGCCCGGGTGGTCATGGGAAGGCTTTATAAACAAAAGTGTAATTTAAGCTACATCCCCAAGAATTGGTAGAATTCAGAGAGGAGAGAAGTGAAGAGGTCACTCCAGCAGGAGCCTGGGTGTGGAAGTGTCAGATATAATTAGGGAGCAGCAGGCAGGACAGAAGACTAAACAGGCAAGCTGAACAGTATGAGAAGGCACTACTGGAAACATAGAATACGGATAGATTGTGGAAGGATTAAGATCAGGACAACGGTTTCAGAATTTATCCTAGAAGCAAAAAGGAGACATTAAAGAGTTCCCAGTGAAGAAGATAAACCAATATTAACGTTTGTATTATATCATTGTCAATAGCCTAGATCTAGCCAGGTTGCAGCAGCACCTTGTATTTATTATTGAATGGTTCTCCAAGCCATTTCAGAATTCTTGTTCTTCTACTAATCTGCAGTCACCTTGTGGGCAGGAACAAGAAACAGGTTGCAGGGATTAGAGGTACTATTTTCATACCTCTATTCTCTGCTCATTCTATTTAAAGCATATGTTCTTGGAAAATAGTCTGAAATGCAGTGTTTTAGCCCCACATTTTGGGATGGGGCCCAGGAATCTGACACAAACCACTGCCTAGAACCTAGCATCTGGGGAAATCCTAGATTTAAGAATAGCTAGATGTGGCAAGTAAGAAAACAGCAGCATCCAGTCCTCTCACCCACTCTCAGTCACATGACCAGCGTAGGTTTTCTTACAAACTACGTTAAAGAGGAAAGTGGACATGGAGCATTTGTTGGAAAAATGTGGCCTCTCATTCTCAGCTATACCACACACTTTTGTCTCTCTCGATTATTTACTCCAAAGAAAACCGTCATGGAAGGAAGAGGGACAAGAGATTGAGTTCAAGCCACCAAAGAAGGTTCAATGGTTCTGCCCACAGACAATTCACTTTTGAAGTCTTAGTAAATAAGAATTTAAAAGCCTTCTTTTCATAGGCTACCTGCATCTCTCTGGCTGTCCTTTCTTCCAGTTCCCTCTTTTTCAAACCTGTCCAGTTTGCTTGGTTTTCTCTCTGATTGACTAGTTCGTTTGAATTTGGAGTACTTAGAGGGCTGTACCAGCCTGTAAGAGGTTATCTTGTGGTCACTTAGTATGGCATGAACCACAATAGTATCACTTTCCAATGGATCTCGAAATCTGAAAAAATAAAACAAGTATTTGCAATAGTCACCATTTTGATCATTCTGCATAATTACTAGTAATAAAATAAAACTATAATACACGATTCTTATTATATCATTATATTGTGCTAGACTCAAATTTTAACATATATATAACAACAGGATGTCATGGAAGTTGGATTGGACTTGATTAAAGAGCAAATATAATCTTTATAATGAAAATACTAAACAACTCATTATTAATCACTATAATACCAGTGCTTTCATAATACGTGGAAAAATGAAAATTTTGCAGGCAGACTGCAGTTTAATGGTAAACAGATCATATCAAACTCTGAGAAAATATAATCTACTTCCCTACATATTATATATAATAGACTATATATTATATATGTATATATATCTACACATATATATTAATAGATTATTATATATAATGTGTAATAGATATATAGTTTGTGTATGTGTTTTGATGCATAGACATATAAACACATATAAACATGTAAATTATGTAAACAAATATATTAATATCTGTGTGTGAGTGAAGGGTCTCTAAATCAAAAAGTGGAAAAATAATTTTTAACTCTTATTTCCCAGAGACTAAAGAATGTTCATTCTTCACCTCACAAAATGTTTTAAAAGTACATTTTGTTTTCTTAAATTATATGGTATGTGTGGTGTGTATATATGTGGGTGTTTACACACATGTGGCAATGCAATTTATTTGTACATAGTACTATAAAAAGAGCAGACCTTGAGCAGCTGAATAAAAGTGGAGACCTCCTCATTTCTACTCTTTGCCCCTCAATTTTCCATGTTTAATGACATTTCACAAAAGTCGCAATCTATCAGATTCCCCTATTTGCCTCTGTAAAAAACATTAAGCTCAGGAAATCATACTAATCTCTAGTTTTTCTTTCTCTCATTGCCCACAGAGTCTTATTTTTAAAAGTTCTTCATCTATCTGTCAATTAAAAAAATTAAAATTTTTTTCATCAATTACGTTGTTATTTGGGGGCATTGGTTCATAATTATCACACACACACACACACACATATGCACTTTTAATTTTAGAATTTAATTTATTTTTGTATATAGTGATTATTCCTAGCTTGTTTGCCTTTCTTACTATTTTTCTAACTTAATCTTTAAACTCTATGTCTGCTTTTAAAATGATTTACTATTTCTTTTTAATGTTCCCTTTTCTTTCATACATACTATCTTTCTCATCTCTTTAAGACTTATTTCCTTTATGTATTTGCCCACTGGAACTTTTAAATTTTAGCCTTTCCATGAGACCCAGATAACACTGAGAGGTGAAGCCAGCTGGACTTCCTGGGTCGAGTGGGGACTTGGAGAAGTTTTCTGTCTAGCTAGAGGATTGTAAACACACCCATCAGCGCTGTGTGTCTAGCTCAAGGATTATAAGTGCACCAATCAGCACTCTGTAAAAATGCACCAATCAGCACTCTGTGTCTAGCTAAAGGATTGTAAATGCACCAATCAGCACTCTGTAAAAACGCACCAATCAGCACTCTGTGTCTAGCTAAAGGATTTAAGTGCATCAACCAACACTCTGTAAAAACACACCAATCAAGCTCTGTGTCTAGCTAAAGGATTGTAAATGCACCAATCAGCACTCTGTAAAATGGACCAATCAGCAAGATGTGGTGGGGACAAATAAGGGAATAAAAGCTGGCCACCCCAGCCAGCAGCAGCAACCCGCTTGGGTCCCCTTTCATGCTGTGGAAGCTTTGTTCTTTTGCTCTTCACCATAAATCTTGCTGCTACTCACTCTTGGGGTCCACACTACCTTTAAGAGCTGTAACACTCACCACAAAGGTCCACTGCTTCATTCTTGAAGTCAGCAAAACCAAGAACCCACTAGAAGGAACCAACTCGGGACACACCTTGGCAACCCAGATGGGACATTGCCATGCAGTGAGTATCATCAGACCCCTGTAGCTTGCTATTCTGTCCTATTTTTCCTTGCAATTCAGGGGCTAAATACCAGGCACCTGCCAGCCAGTTAAAATCAACTAGCATGGCCGCCGGACTAAAGACATGGGTGTCAGGCTTTCTGGGAAGGGGCTCTCTAACAACTCCTTCTCTTTGGAGTTGGGAGCGTTGGTTTGCCTGGAACCAGATTCCGCTTTTCCTGTACTTCTGGGCTGAGCCAAGGGTCGACAGAGAGGAAAGTCATTCAGCTCAAGGGTCCTGACAAAAAGTTTGTTGACCCTGTAGCCACGAGCGGAACTCTCAAAGTCATGTCACCCAAGTGAGACTCACCCATCTATCCTATCTATCCTGATCCTTGCCTCCTGGGTCCTAATGGCTGTCAGACAAACTTCCTCCTGCCTCTCTTCTCCGAGGCTAGTCCCACTTCTAAAAACCACTCCCTGTCTCTGGTGCTTTTCTAGTTTCTCCTATAAGAATGATTTCTAGTATCAACTTCAGGACTTTGTTCCCTTCTTTAGGCACCTGGGCTCACCAATCAGAAAGACATAATTTTTGCCCAAAGCCCCATTGGGTGGGGAGACCAACTATCCTTTTAGGATCCTTCCTCATACCAGCAGGCCTAACAGAAGCTATTCCTGAGGCTGGGATATGGGGAGCTTCAGAAATGATATCCTTCCTATTCAAGTGAGGACAAAAGGCATCACTTTTCCAACCCTGGAGATCCCTTCCCTCCCTCAGGGTATGGCCCTCTACTTCATTTTTGGGGCATAACATCTTTACAGGATGGGGTAAAGTCCCAGTACTAACAGGAGAACACCTGGGACTCTAACAGGTTTTCGAGAATGCATTGGTAAGGGCCACTAAATCCGACCTTCCTCAGTCTTCTTTGTGGTCTAAGAGGAAAACTAGTGTTTCTGCTGCTGCATCGGTGAGCACAACTATTCCGATCAGCAGAGTCCAGGGACCATTGAGGTTCTTGGGGAAGAGGGGTTTCTGCTGCTGCGTCGCTAAGCGCAACTATTCCGATCAGCAGGGTCCAGGGACCGTTGCAGGTTCTTGGGCAGGGGGGTAAGTAAACAAACCAAAATCGCTAGTGGTTTTTCCTTTCACATGGGAAACACTCAGGAATCAACAGGCTCACCCTTGAAATGCATCCTAAGCCATTGGGACCAATTTGACCCACAAACGCTGAAAAAAAGGTGGCTCATTTTTTTTCCTGCACTACAGCCTGGCTCCAATATTCTCTCTCTGATGGTGAAAAATGGCCACCTGGGGGAAGTATAAATTACAACACTATCCTGCAGCTTGACCTTTTCGGTAAGAGGGAAGGCAAATGGAGTGAAATACCTTATGTCCAAGCTTTCTTTTCATTGAAGGAGAATACACAACTATGCAAAGCTTGCAATTTACATCACACAGGAGGACCTCTCAGCTTACCTCCATATCCTAGCCTCCCTAGAGCTCCCCTTCCTATTAATAATAAACCTCCTCTAATCTCCCCCATCCAGAAGGAAACAAGCAAAGAAATCTCCAAGGGACCACAAAAACCCCCAAGCTATTGGTTATGTCCCCTTCAAGCTGCAGAGGGAGGGGAATTTGGCCCAACCCAGGTACGTGTCCCCTTCTCCCTCTCTGATTTAAAGCAGATCAAGGCAGACCTGGGGAAGTTTTCAGATGATCCTCTTAGGTACACAGATGTCTTACAGGGTCTAGGACAAACCTTTGACCTCACTTGGAGAAATGTCATGGTATTGTTACATCAAACCCTGGCCTTTAATGAAAAGAATGCGGCTTTAGCTGCAACCCAAGAGTTTGGAGATACCTGGTATCTTAGTCAAGTATATGATAGAATGACAGCCGAAGAAAGGGACAAATTCCCTACCAGTCAGCAAGCCGTCCCCAGTATGGATCCCCACTGGGACCTTGACTCAGATCATGGGGACTGGAGTTGCAAACATCTGTTGACCTGTGTTCTCAAAGAACTAAGGAGAATTAGGAAAAAACCCACGAGTTATTCAATGATGTCCACCATAACTCAGGGAAACAAAGAAAATCCTTCTGCCTTCCTTGAGCGGCTACAGGAGGCCTTAAGAAAATATACTCCCCTGTCACCTGACTCCCTCGAGGGTCAACTGATCCTAAAAGATAAGTTTATTACCCAATTAGCTACAGGTATCAGGAGAAAGCTCCAAAAGCTTGCCCTGGGCCCTGAACAAAATCTGGAGGCATTACTAAACCTGGCAACCTCGTTGTTCTATAATAGGGACCAAAAGGAACAGGCTGAAAAGGAAAAGTGAGATCAGAGAAAGGCCACAGCCTTAGTCATGGCCCTCAGACAAACCTCGGTGGTTCAGAGAGGACAGAAAATGGAGCAGGCCAATCACCTGGTAGGGCTTGTTATCTGTGTGCTTTGCAAGGACACTTTAAAAAAGGTTGTCCAATGAGAAACAAGCTGCTGAGGCAATCACTGGAAGGTGCACTGCCCCAGAGGACAAAGGTTCTCTGGGCCAGAAGCCCCTAAACAGATGATCCAACAACAGAACTGAGGGTTCCCGGGGCAAGCGCCAGCTCATGTAATCACCCTCACTGAGCCCTGGGTATGTTTAACCATTGAGGACCAGGAAATTGACTTCCTCCTGGACACTGGCACAGCTTTCTCAGTGTTCATCTCCTATCCCAGACAGCTGTCCTCAAGGTCTGTTACCATCCGAGGAATCCTGGGACAGCCTGTAACCAGGTATTTCTCCCACCTCCTCAGTTGTAATTGGGAGACTTCGCTACAGATAGTAAGTATGCTTATCTAATCCTACATGCTCATTCTACAATATGGAAAGAAAGGGAGTTCCTAACCTCTGGAGGAACCCCCATTAAATATCACAAGGAAACCATGGAGTTATTGCACACAGTGCAAAAACCCAAGGAGGTGGCAGTCTTATACTGCCAAAACCATCAAAAAGGGAAGGAGAGGGGAAAACACCAGCAAAAGTCACTGGCAGAGGAAGGGAAAGACCAGCAGAGAGGAAAGAGAGAGGAAGAGGCAGAGAGATAAAAAGAGAG